TCAATTTAACAAATGTAGATATACTCCTTTTGGAGGGGTGGGATTTATTATATGGATGGCATGCCTACTTAATTTATAATAAAAAAGTTGATAGGGTTTTTAAGTATCATATTTTAAGAACTTCTTTACTTCGGGTTTGGAAGAAATATTATAGAATTGATTCAAGAATTCCATTATGGGCTATTCCATGGCATGCAATAGAAGGAATACGGAAAGGAGTTAAGATGGATAGTATTTCTTATACACAATTACTTAAGTGGGATGGTAAAAATTGGCAATTAAAATCCATAGATGAATTAGCACAAGAAAATATTAACTATTCATGGTTTCAGTACAGACAATTATTGGAAAGGTGGAAGATAGATTATAAAGTGGGTTTGCTTAGAGAGGATGAGAATTTGCTAAAACAAACTAGAGATCAAAGCCGAACCCACATAAAAAGAATTTATGGTGTAAATTGGATTCAGAAGCAGAATTAGTTAAAGATTGTATGGTTAAATGGGCTCAAAATTTTGATGAACCGATTTTATTAGATACATGGGAGATTATTTGGGTGAGGAATGTCAAATTTATACAAGCACAAAATTTACGGGAAAATTTTTATAAAATGTTTTATAGATGGCACCTTGATCCACAAAAAATGTCTCGTATGTATTCAAATTTGCAGTCTAAATGTTGGAGATGTGGTTGCTTGGATGCAACGTATTATCATATCTGGTGGTCATGTAAAAGCATAAAAGTCTTTTGGATTAAGATATGGTGGAATATTCAAAGAATTTTCAAAAGAAGGATAAAATTTAGCCCACAACTGTTTTTGTTGGGTATTGTTTCTGATTGTAATGACAAAGAGATTATTTTAATGTTAAATTTAATTACAGTGGCAAGGTTGTTAATAGGGCAATATTGGAAGAAGGAATCTTTGCCTACTTTGCAGGAATGGTTTTTTAAAGTTTCTTATTTAGCTGAAATGGCAAAAATTTCGGCTTATTTGAAAGATCAATCGCAAGAGAAGTATCTCTTGGTGTGGAAAAGATGGATAAATTTTATACAATATAAGTATGATTTAAGAAAATATCATTTAGCTTTTGAATAATTTATATTTAAAGTTTAAGATATTATTTAGAAGTGTAGAATAGTTTTGTTTTGGGTTTTTTTGGGTTTTTTTGGTTTTTTTATATTATTATTATTATTATTATTATCTTTATTTTTTTCTTTTCTTCTTTTTCTCTTTCTGTTTTTTATATATAATGGAGTTAAAGTATTTAATAATTTGTTTACTGAATGTAATTATACTTGTTTGAGGTTTATTTGGGTTTAAAAGTTTCTTCTTATAAGTTATAGTTAACCCTGTATTCAGCTCTGGGAAGAATGGGGGAGGGTTTTGGGGTGGGTTGGGAGGGATCGGGGAAGGGGTTTTTATTGTAAAATTGTAAAAATTTATAATAATAATAAAAAAAGAAAATAGCTCGACTCCCTCTTCTTTGTGGCAGCCCCTGAAATATTTGAACACTGCTATCATGTCCCCCTATGTCTAAGTGCTATTGCTATGTATGTATGTATGTATGTATGTATGTATGTATACACACACACTGATTTCTCTCTATATGACTTCATTTCATCTACAGTGAAGCAACTGATCTATCTAGATCATGTCTATGAACTTCTGCAATAAGCAAGTTCATGAATATGGGGTTAAGTATCTGAGGAATTGAAATTTATTTCTGTATTTCTATATGTATATATGTGCATATCTGACCTCTATTAAACAGTTTTTTAAATGTTCTTTATTGATTAAAAATTATGGGGAAGAGCTCTGTTTTAACTTTCTCCAAAAGATTGTTTTGGTGAGGGCGCTATTCAGGTTTGCAATTAAGCTGTTCATAGCATTGAGGGATGCCCTAAAAACATCACCCTCTCTTTTGATCTCACATGAGAGATACCCTCTCAGTAACCCTGTTTAGATTAAATAAGCTGGACAATGTTTCTCAACTTCAGCTTTCTCAATGCCATATGGCTGGGGAATTCTAAGAGTTGAAGTCCACATAGCTTAAACTTGCTGAGGTTGAGAAACACCAAAGTAGACAGAAAATATCTCTCTGAAGTAGAAATTCCTATAAATACCTACAGTACATGTTAAGCCTTCAAATGTTTAATAGGTTAAAACTAACACTTCGAATGACTTAATGTGTCATGTATGTGTTTCACTTTGAGAGCGGGCAACTAAATTTCATTTTTGAGGTGTGCCGTTGTGCCCACAGTAAAAAAAAAATGACAATAAAGGTTATCCTATCCTATCTTACCTTATGTCCAAAAGTTAGATTACAGTTCCCACTGTGATTGAGTGACCATATTTTATGGATTATGTTGGAATCCAGAAAATTTGAAATGTCATAGGTTTGTCACTCTGACTGAGATCAAAAATAATCTGGATGACTGCAACAGAAATTTCATGTAAACAAGGTGAAATTGCAGTTCACTGGCAATATGGTTGCTCAAAATATATAGTTATGCTTGTCCATAATAATTGGCATTATGAATTGAGGCTGGGCTGATTATGCATGGGGCAAAAATTGAAGTGCTATGCATATTGCCTTGAGGAAAAGAGAAAATTTAAATCAAATACACTTCAATTTCATCTGGTAACAAAAATGGCTTGGGAAGACTTTTACCAGTTTTGATTAATTTTTCTGGATTTTGCTTATAGCTACTTGTATTCTATTAGCATACTATTAGCATGTAAATGAAATAACAGTATACATGTATAATATACTATACTTAAGATTGTGTTTGAAGAATGTTTATAATATCAAGTGGCCAAAAATGTAGCTGAAAGATAATTGATGAGACTTTTTGAATCATGAACTACACTTAATATTTTGAGAGAGTCATCCAAAATGATTGTGCCATGTCACATGCATGGGTGGGACTGGTTTTTCTTTATTAGTTATTTTCCCCCATTTAGGGGGAAATGATTTATTGCTTTTCAAATTGTATAAAGTCCATTTTAAGGATTACACTATCAGTTTTAACTTTTTTACACCATATATTTTCAGCAATCCTATCACTGAATTTTGGAAAGTAGTCAGATGCTATACAAATGTACCCTGGGGCTAAATGACTTACGGGTCCACAATCTGCCTGCTCTTAATTTAGAGAATAACTTCAGGTTTTGTATCTTCAGCATATGTACATTTATAGATGGTTTTCATCTATTCTATCTATTTATTCAGAGTGAATTTGGCTGTTTTAAAGCTTCTAAGTCATGTGAATCAGAAAGATATCCTTTTATATTTTTTGACAATCTGAATTACTCTCCGGGTCCTCTGTGGCCACATACTTTTTTCTGTAGGGGCATCCTGTTTATGGATCTTTCTGCCGAGGATTTTCATTTTATTAAATCCCCCCTCTCCCCATTGCTTTGTATTTAGGGTAAAGATGGGGAGGCTTTGATATATTCAAGATTGATGGACTACAAGTAATCCTCAGGTTATGAAAGCAATTAGGAACAGGAATTCTGTGGCTAAGCTACTTGGTCATAAAGCATAACATCACATGACCTGATTGCTTAGCAATGGCAATTCCAGCAGTCCCAGTTGCCATTGTTAAATGAACATTTCATGTGATTGAAAATTCTGACTTCCTGCCAGCTTCCCCATTGACTTCATTTGTGAGATGCTGACAAGGAAAGTTGGAAATTACAATAATGTAACCATATCTTACTGCAATTTTGTAATTGTGAGCTGGGTGCAAGTGCTCAGATTACAATCACATTCCTACAGAGATACTGCAACGGCTGGAATTCCAAGGACCTGTCATAAGTCAGTGCCATTGTAACTTTGATCACTGAATAAATGATCGTAACCTGAGGACTACCTATAGTCTTACTATAATTAGTCCTTGACTTACAACAGTTCATTTAGTGACCATTCAAAGTTACAACAATACTGAAAAAAATGACTTATGACCATTTTTCATTCTTAAATCACTGCAGTATCCCTATGGTTTCATGATCAAAATTCAGATGCTTGACAACTGACTTATATTTATGACTGTTGCCGTGTTTCAGGTTCATGTGATCCCCTTTTGCGACCTTCTGACAGTCAGTGGGGAAGGCAGATTCACTTAAACAGTTGTGTTACTAACTTAACAACTGCAGTGATCATAAAAGGTCATAAAAAGAGGCAAAACTCACTTAACTAAAAATAGTTAAGTGAGTTTTGCCTCTTTTTATGACCTTAGCAACAGAATTTTTGTGCTCAATTATGGTTATAAGCCGAGGACTACCTAAAATACGTATTCTTTTTAAAGTGGCTTTATTATGTTCAATGTATTAACTGTTCCTCTATGAAGCTATAGGGAATCAAAAAGAATGTTATACACCTCAGAGCATTACGTTCACAGTTTTACACTTTGTATAATTAAAAATAGTAGTGAGTTATATTTTATACTGGTTAATGCAGGCAAGAAAAACTATTAATAAAATATAAGTTTCTTCCTGCTTATTATGTAAAGAAAGATTGTCTGGGTGGAAACACATGCTTTTTTTTTTCCTGGCTACATTATGTAGGAGAACCTAATTGACCTTGGCTACTCTTGAAAGTTAAGTTTGGCCTGCTTAAAAATACCAAGGCTTGGCCTAGATTGGGGGGAGGGGCTTTGGAAAAAAAATCCACGTAGTCAGTCCATATCCAGGTAGGTACCAGAGGTTAATTTCAATCAAAGAGAAATCTTACCTACAAGTGGATGTATTGTAAGTTACTTAATGTAGCCCATGAATGGGAAGTTTATTTTATTTTATTTTTGTGGTTGTTCTAAGAGGTAAGTCTTACTTGATCCATTCCATGGTGTAAAGAAAAACATTTTAAAAGTATACGGTAAAGCTTTTAATACTTATTTATTTCAGAACTCCATGTAATGAATAAGGAGAATGTAGGTAATTTGAACAAAAGCCCCAAATTTACCCAAAATGTTTTGATTGCTTTCTCTAACTTTTCTCTTAGGTACAGCACGTGGGAACCTGAGGAACACATTCTTGACCCTCGTCTGGTGATGGCTTATGAAGAAAAGTAAGTTTTTTTTCCCATTTTGGAAAAATTAAATGAAAACCTCTAGGTTTTGGGGGAAAGGGATGCAGCATGACTATATTAGGGTTTCCCAATTTTGAACAACTTTAAGATGTCTGGACATCAACTCTCAGAATTTCCCAGCCAACATATGGACTAAAACCATTTCTCAAAGTTCATCTGGGCAAGGCAAGGTCACACTTACGTCACACACTTAGCTAAAATATGAACTTCCTGGTTTGGCTTAGTTAACAAAGGGTTTTCCAATGGGTTTTGGAAGTGAAAAGCTTCCAAAAGATTAGCTGTCATTAAGGAATATAATAAAAGCAAATCATATTACAGATGAGTCCTTCAGCTTACAAATTTTTATATATGACATGCGGAATAGATAGCAAGGTAAAAACATTTTGACCTAGATTATTAGGTTATCCTATGATGAGAATGTCAATTTGCTATGTTTTGGCCATGTTGGCTGGGAATTCTGGAATCTGTAATACAACACATGTAAATGGCACTGGATTGAAGAAGGCTAATGTACTAGTCAACCTTTTCCTTCAAAGCACTTTTAGATTTATTTAAATTGTTGACGAGGGAAGATCTTTTTGTGTGCATGTTTAGGTATCACTTTTTAGTTATAGTGATCAATTGCATGGAGAAAATTAAAAGCTATAATTACCAACCAAATTCACACAAAATCCTTCTTAATTTGATCTATATTTGAGTCAGCATTTCCTTGGAAGCATGTTTAAGTAACACGAAGGAATATCTGTTCAAAAAGCTTTGTGGATTTGTGCTGTTTCAACAAACAAAACTGCTAGGCATTTTCTGTCTCTTTAGGGAAGAACGAGAGCGTACCTCAGGTTACAGAAAGAGAGGTCCCAAACCCAAGCGCCTGTTGCTGCAGGTAATATTTCAGATATACTAAAGGTTGATGCCTATTCCTGAATCCCAGTATTGATATTGTAGTTCAGCCTCTCCCAGTTTTGAATTCCCAGACTCCAAGGGCTGGAAAGAAATCTGCTAGTCTTATTGCAGCATAAGCAACAGAATCCTCCGGTATCTCATGTAATAGATTGTGAGTCCTGAAAGCATATGCATTAGGACATCACAAGATTCTTTTTGGCAGATATTAGGCTTTTAACTTGTTTCACTTTCAACCAACATACACAGGGAAGATAGGAGCTGTAGTCCAGCAATTTCTAGGGATATCTAACCTTCCTTTTCTCTCTTACCATATATATTGTGAAAGGACAATTAGTTATCAGAATTACATCTTAATTATAAAAAAATGCTTTGCCCATAGTTCAGAGCAATTTTATATGTTCCATTGGTGACAATCATTGTCCAATGGAAGCTTTTGCTCTTGTGCAAATAAACGTTAATAATTTTACTGATGAAATAAGCTCATGTAGAACTCATGAAATGTACATATTGACTATAGGCCATTTGGCTGAGTAGAATTTGGGGAGCTGGAAGTACAGGGCACTGCATCACAGACTTCTTGAGCTGAGAGTGCTTTTCTTCATTTTCAGAGACTATATAGCATGGACCTGAGGAGTGCCCACAAAGGGAAAGAGAAACTCTGCTTTTCTCTGTCCCGGAGGTTTGGGGGAGGAGGAAACGACTTGGCAGGGGCCAAGGGAGGGCAGACAGAACTGTCTGAGAAGAGTGGCGGAGCGGTCCTGCCCTTTCCTCTTCGGAAACAGAGCAAGAACCAGAAGTACCTGCGCCTTTCACGGAAGAAGTTCACCCGCATGTCAAGCCTGGAGAATCGGAATCGTCGTCGAGAATTTTTCTTGAAGGAACCCATGGTTCTTGAGGACAGGCAGCCACCCAATGATTGGGATGATGTAACACAACCTGCTACCAAGGAAGGTAAGCCTGGAACTATCCCCAGCTTTGCCATACCAACTTCATCTTGCTGGGCAGTTTGTGATTTTCTCTTAGACTGCAGCATTCTGGGTATATACACGGGGACGGGATTTTTAATTTGCCATTCATACCTCTCAGGCATACACAGTTCTTTGGCAGCTTGAGCTAAAAGGGTAATTCCAAACTACATTCAGTCAGCAACTGTTCAAAGTTATGACAGAACTGAAGAAATGGTAGTTATGACTGGTCCTCAAGAGTTCTGACTGTTGCAGTAATGCCACTCCTAGAAAGTTAATAGGGAAGCTGGCAGGGAAGGTTGCAAATTGCTGGGGTAAGTCTTCCCCACCTGTGCATTCTTCCTCAGCCCCTCTGTCCTTGTGCTGGCTACCCACACACTCCTGCACCCCCATCCACCCTCTCCAACACCACACCTCTCTGGCCCCTTTGCCATTTCTATATACACCTTGCTCCCTCCCCCATCTGCAGTAACCACTAACCTGCATGCTGGCTTAGGATTTGCAACTTCCTGCCACCTTCCTCACTGACTTTGGTTCTGAGAAGCCAGCAGAAACTTGCCTTGCTTAAAGACTGTAGGATTCAGTTAACAATGGTAACCAGGATTGCAGGGATTGTTGTCACTAAGTGATGCAGTTGTGCTTTTCAACTGCCTCGCTTAGTGACAGAAATTCTGGTCCCATTTGCCATTGTAATTCAAGGACTACCTATATTGTTGAGCAGTAGGCCCTTTAAATCCAAGCTTCAGGTCAATTAAGGGTTGGACTGATGGAAAGCCAGTTGCTTGCTAATTTAGGTGCACTTGTAGAGTAGCCTTGCAGTTCTTGCCAACAGACATCACAGGAGCGAAGGCTTTTTCCTATGGATGGTTCAGGCTGCACTTTTGGTAGGAGCTCTTAATGCCATCTTCCATATTCTTCTATCTAAAATATTTCTAATATGACAGACAAAATACACTGATCTTCTTTGCTGGCTCTTCTTTAACATATGCTACAGAAGTTATTCCTTTCTCATAAAACTTAAAAGATTTGTAAGTCATGAAGAAAACTAGAAGTAAACACTGAGATATTTACACTGCCGACCGAATGCCCTCAAAAACTTTGGACAGTAATTCCCATATCACAGCCAGCATGTCCACATCTGAAGGGCCCCAAGCTGAAATAATTGAGTCAGACTTTTGCAAAACTATAGGTTTATGCTTGTGAAGAATCAAGAATATTATAAATGGTTCACACAAAATTTCTAGTGTAGGTATATATGAATGTTATTGTTTATTAGTAGGACATTTTATATTTGGGGCAGGTTTATGTTTACATTACCTTGCATGCATAGTATGAAACAACTGAGTAGCTGGTGTATATTAACTCCCAGTGAAGCTATAGTATGCATATAACTTTGATTTCAAATGGAATATTCATATTAGAACCTGGACTGTTTGCCAAGATAATGTGCTATATACTGTATATATATTATGAATGAAGCAGAGTTGCTTTCTGGATATTGTCATTTCATTGCTTATGCTTAAAAGCTGTACACATATCCCAGTTTAAATTACTTTACCAGATATCACTCACAAATTGCAAAGTCTGCATTCATATCCATAGGAAGTGTATTTCTGAAATTGTACTAACTGTAGAATTTACTGACAGGTAAAGTCTCCTTTGAGCGTGCTTTTTTCTTGGCAACTGTGTGGGAAACGTTTGCCATTATTTTCTTCTCGGGCATTCATTCAATTTCTAATCTGGTCTACAGTCCTATTTCTTCAAGGTCTCCCATTCAAGTGCCTTTAAGATACGATCCTCAGATCAGTCACGTTCTGCTATGTATTGTCAACTATTTTAACTCAAGAGCTTAATGTTTTATACTATGTATATAATATAGGTAGAGCAGTGGTATATGATATCATGTATGTGGGCAGAACTGGGCTTTGGTTTGAGGGTAATGGACTTACAGGTGCATAAAGCCTATCTGTGTTGCTTTTGCTTTTTAAAAAATAACCAGTAGACAATGCATCTCCTGTAAAATATAGTTGACTATCCGAGATATGTAAATATCTCTTTAAATTGACCTTTCTGTATGGATGAGTTGACCTAAGGAATGCCATTGGATGCCATTTGGATAAGACGGGCCTATGAAAGTTATAGAAATAGAATCTTAGGTAGAGTGGACCCCAGTCAAATATCCATTCAGAAGCCAGAAATATCCTTTTAAAAGATGCTTATTCTTATTCTATCCCCAAGTAAAACTGAATGGTGAAATCCGGATAAAGAACAGAAAATGAGGACTTTCCTCTTTTCTTATTTTCATTTGTAAAAGACCAACAAGAGAAGACTAGAGAACTAATTGTAAATTCAGTTTGTTGTGGCTCTGAAGGAATTTGTTTAATTCATATGCCTTTGCATTTAAGGAAAGCATTTTGAGAGTTTTGTAAAGAGTAGAAAACAGTCCTTCTTTTAGATCTTCATGTGTAATTACTATTTTCTTGTATTAAGTATTAATGGAAGACTGAGGAAAATATCCCTGTGGTATTTAGTTTCACAGTATAAGTAGAATTGGAGTGAAAGTACTTTGCTAGTGCTTCAGTGGATTGGGGAAGAAGTTATGTGGGATCGGAATTCAGTTGTACAATATTCTCTTTTAAAGTCTTGGAGATTCTCTGGGGATAGATAAATGCTAATGTAAGTACATCCTTGCACTGATTGGAATTGCTGAAATTATAGCAGTATTTGCACAATTACGTATTTGTTGTATCTGTGCAGGCATGTGATTGTGTTCCTGCTACCTCTTCCCTTCCTAGGGTTATGTATCTATTCTACAAGAGTTGATCTGTTTTACGAGCAGGAATGATCTTTGATACCAATGGAGGTTTTTTTTCCCCTTCAGTTTGTTCCTCGTCATCACAGTTTTTGTTTTTCTACCCTCTCCCTTTTCCACAGTGGGCCCAGAGACAGCAGAAGTCCCTTTTTCCTGGACCCCTGCATTGCCCCCAAATGAAGTGACCGTTACAGACATCACAGCAAACTCAATTACCGTGACTTTCAGAGAAGCTCAGATGGCAGAAGGCTTCTTCCGAGACCGGAGTATCCAATTCTAAATCTGCTGTTTGTTAACTTTTCTTTCTCTCTCTTGGTCTTTCCTCATTAAGGGAATTTTTGAGTTTGAGTTATTCTTGCATTCCCAGTCAGGTTCCATTACACTTTCAGTGACATTATTTAGAAAAAGAGAATGCGGGGGGCGGGGGGGGGGGAATCCCTTTACAAAAGTTTACAGAGCATTTTAATTTTTTGGACAAGTGATCATACTGACATTCTTTTTGGTTGTATTCATCTTTGAAATACATGAAGCCAAGGTAAAGCAATGTGAGGAGTACCTGTGCTTTCCCCCCTTCATTTGTTACTATAGATAGAAAAAGAGTGTATAGATATATTACTTGTCTGTTGTTGCTTTGTTTGTCTGGGAGACTGAAGCTTTTTTCACTGGCAAAGATACTTATTCATGGTGCATTGTGGAAAAATGTCAATTTCTTAGTTATGGCACAAACCTTCTGCACTCAAAATTAAGGGCTCAGTGTCTGAAATAGGAAAGAGGCCAAATATAAAAATCCCTGACCTCTTCCAAGTTCAGTGGACTTTTCTAGGTCAAGCTGTTTCCCTGATCTGCTTCCCTCCAGGTGCATATATAAAAACATTACTCCTCTTTTTCTTTTGGGTGTCTGCCTTTCAGTTCTTAATGCTTTTTCATTTATTAGTACTGTTGATGATTGGGCTTGCTGCCATTCATGATGCTTCCAGAGATCCTATAATTTAGAGAAGCAACTACAGCTGGTATACTGGCTTTTGGGGTTTGGGCTTCCAAAGAATTGTGCTGGTTTTTTTCTTTGCTTATGGTTTATTAATAACAGGAGCACAAGAAAAAGGTATTGCTATAATCAGGCATACCAGTATAAGAGAAGCCTAGCTTATTACTTATCTGATGAGGTAAGCCAAGTAGTTTTTATGGTCTTTTCCTAGGAAGCCTGCAGCTTTTCAGCAGAATAGGAATGCCTCAGTAATTGGCACTGACAACTGTACAGTATGTAGTCATAAACATGTTTCCATGTGTCCTTGAGTATGACAATGGCTTGGATGGAATTGTTACAGATCCCAAAAATTCTGTCTTACTTCAGATGCCTTTGTAATATGCAATAGGAGGGCTTACTATCTAATTAGATATATAGTTGGTTCTTGATATATATGAAATTTGAATTGCTTATTGGAGACTTGGCTTATATCCATTTGCAGGTTTGTAGATAGATGTAGAGAGTGGACATGTTTTAGCATATATGCATTGTTGATCCCTGAAAAAATTCTGGAACACCAAATATACTCCAAGAGGAAAAGATACAACCAGTTTCTAAAACAAAAAACAACCCAAGAATTTAGCTCCTTCAATTAGCTTTATATATGTTTCTTGTTCCCTATGCAGTTAATTACCTGACACACACAAAAGGAATTGCCTGGTATATTTAACCTTTTAAACAGGTAAATAATTGGGAGACTTTTTTTTTTGAAACGGATTCTCTTTTAGGGAAGCCTCATTGGACATCTGGTTGTCAGTTTGATACTATTAAGTACACTTAAAAGGATATTTGGACTCTGTATCTCTGTGTATGAAACTATATTTTGCTAGGCTTCAAATGGTTTGAGAAACACTGCATTAACATTCTGTTCTTACTCAAGTTGGTGGGATATTGTGGCTTCAACTTCCATTACATGACCATTGTTAATAAATTAACTTCATGCGTCTACAGTATGGGAATGTTGCATGAGTTAAAAGTGGAAGTAGTGATGGAGTAAAGGATTTTTAGTAGAGTCAAAACAATTATCAGTTTTGTCTAGAAATTTAATCAAAAGTGGCATTGGCACTGATTTTATTGTACTAACTGATCCAATACAGGATGAGAAATACTAGAGCAGAGAAATGGATTGGAAGATAAGTATGAGACAAAAATCTAATTTTAATAATTTGTTCTCCAAAGGACACTATTTGATTTCTTCCTCATATTGGTACTTCTGTATATTTTTCTGTACAAATATTTTATGAAGATCTCTGCCAGGAGAAGCTGCTTGCAGTTATATAGGACTCTGTCTTGCACTTTAGTATCTTGAAATTTGTGCTGGACTTCTTTGTGAATGCTTTGTTTTGTTTTACAAAAACTGTTGTACCTATGAATTGTATAGCTTTAGCATATGTTCTTGTGCATATGTGCTTCTTTTAAGTTTGCTTGAACAGATGAACTCTAGAAAATAATTTTCCTATGGAAAGTGACAATGGAATGGTAGAAGGTAGAACTGCAATCCAAACCCTAGTTTTCAAAGAATTTAAGATCAGTTGAAATGAAGATGTCTTGCTTTACTTAAAAAAGAGAGAGAGAGAGTAAAGATTGAAAGGAAAAACGAACGTGTATAGCATGTTCTAATGCATCTTTTGATCACTTATTTGTTTACTGATCTCAACTTTTTAACCCACAAAAATGCTTTTCCCTTTGATTGATGAAATTCTTGATTAATTAAGAACTAATTTAATTTAAGATTTATAAAAATAGAAATGTTAAAATCATGTGAGGCGTCTACAACTAATCTTCCATCAAGACTTTTACTACCAACCTCATGTCAAATTCTGGAAGGGTTGAGTTGTTGCTTGCCAACTCAAAGAAGCTATTTGTTGATGCTCAGTGCAACAGCTGCAGGTTTTTTCTTTCTCAGAAGTTTTAAAGGAAGAGGTGTCATTATGGGTCAGAAGGTATAAATTGGGATAGTTCACATTATTTCACAGTGACAAAGAAATATTGATTTCTTGAAAGTGGGGAAGGAGTATATTCAATTCCCACCTTTCTGAACTATTTTAGCCTCCTTTATTCTACATTAGATTACAGGCAGCATTAACATAGTAAGAGCCCAATTCTTCTGAGCTCTTAATATGAGTCCCAGAGAAAATATGAAAGCTATGCTTTCCCCAAAGAGTTTAGGCAATGAATCATGACTTAGTATGATAAGCAAGCTCCATTTGTATGTTATGTAAGTGAAGCTGGAAACTGAAATTCTAAGACCTGATCACCTTCAACTCAAACTTACTATGTGATGGCATAAATTTATTATAGATTTAATGACTTAAGGGAATAAATACAGTAATTTTGCTAAGTACGCAGTTGCTAAAGGATGGTGTTTGTTCGAGAGAGCAGAAGATCCAGTTTAATTCATGCTTAAAAAAAGTTGAGTATAAGTTGAGTTTAAGATGATCTTCAAGAAGAGCATTGTCATATGTAAGTGTATGATTAATGAATATACATTTCATATTGTATCATTATATTTTACACTACATTGGTAATGTTTTCTTTGGTTTCTAAGACACAGAAAATGTGTAGCTTCTCCGTTTCTAGTAACATTTTGCTATACTATTCAGGGTGAGATACATTGTTGCTTCAGCAAAATGTAGCATTATTATGGCTGTAGATTTTTTGATCCTTTAGTTTCTCCCATTTAAAAAATATGCCAAAGTGATTAGTATAGTACCAACGTTTTTAAAGTTGTTCAGTAGTCATAAAGTTAGTCCAAGTCCAGTTTGAAATCTAATCCTATTACTGTGTACTTTTTCTTGTTTAATATTTCCTATATGCATAGATAGTTGAGCTGTTCATATTTTTGGTGTGCATGTACTTTATGTGAGAAGGAGTATGTAGAGAAAGGGCCATTTTTTTTTAAATTTGCTGCAGCTAAGATGTATATATGCTATTTGTGCATATGCTGTAATGCCTTGTGCCAAAGAGAAGGTAGGATCATTTGATGTTTCATGTTTGTATTTTCAGCATGATTTGGAAAAGTAAGCTCTTAAGTTAGATAACAACAGAGATATGAATAAATGTAAAAAAAAAAAGAGGGAGAGAGATAGATGAAATTCTGTATTAAGGAAATCTAACATAAATGTACATTTGATATCCTCCAGTAATATAGCACTTTAATAGATGCTATTCCTTGCCAAAAAGATTCTTTTCCTTAAGCCACTGAGTGATTAAAGAAAAAAAAACTGCAATAGTTATGAAGACTATTATAAATTATTGTATAGTTATGTTGTTGTTGCTTGATATGCAGATTGATAATGAAATAGGAGCAGCTGACAGCTTGGGCTGTCAGTTGCACAAGACAGTACAGCATTCTTTAAGAAATGTTAGGAAATATGAACTTGTTAAAAATGTTGAAATGTACTAAGTTTTCCTTTTCATTAATAGGAAACTTTCTTGAAAGAGACAGCCCCTGGTATGAAAAATCTAATATGAAAAGGCAAATTTTTATCACTTCCTGGAGCTAAAGATTAAACATGTACAGGTTTAAAACAGATTTGAAGAATCCTGAACAATTTATAATTTCAGACCCATATAGATATTGGGCTCCACACTAGTCTAAAGTTTAACAGTGAACAGAATTCATTGGAGGAAGGAAAATTTTAATGTATCAAAATACATATTTTAATTGGCCCAAGTAAACTTTGCACACATATACCTTGTGGGAAGAGATACAAAGTATATTTGCATTAATGGTTTTACTTGGCTGTAATGTAGTATGTCTGTACATCTGATAACCAATTTGTAGGTTTGTATTATGGCAAAACCAATCTAAATACATAAAAGTTGATACCAAGGGTGTAGGCCTATGCATCTTACTGGGAGTAAATATTAGTGAGCACATTGATGCTTCCTTTTGAATGTAAGATTGCACTTTAAATGCTTATTTCCATGTATTTAGGAATGGCATTATTAAGATACAAAGTTAGCCATTGTAGACCCCAAGCTGCTAATTCTTTTATAAATTGTGATTAGACCTTTCAGACCTAACTGCACAGTATGTTCCTCATTTTAGAAAAAAGAGAATGACTGTTCTTTAGAACAATTCCAAACTTCCCTTGAACTCAAAAAACTTTCCAGATACCAGCAATAAGTTATTTCTGATAGATTCCTGCAGCTTTGTGCATGCTAGTCAAACGCAGCCTTGTAACACTCTTCCATTTATGTCTGTATATATGATGTATATTTTAATGCATATTTTTTAGAGTTCATCTTTCCCTAACAAATTGCACTTTAATAACTTATTAGAGATGTGGAGCTGCATCCAGCTATTTTATGGGATTATAAATAGTTCAGCAGCTTTTTCTTAATGGCTGTTACAGTCTTTCATATTTTTTTTGAAAAAGTGTGGTCAAAAATGCCACAAAATTAAAAATTTAAAAAATCAGAACAGGGCATTATTATTGTCTACTGAACTTAGAAAACATTTTAGTGCCAAGAACATCCCATTTAAGAGGGTTTGAGTTGTGTTCTTGTTGTTTGCACTGTGTGATGTGTCAGAGTGACTGCCTGAATTAATTGCTTATTCCTATAATCTTGTTTTCTTTGGGATAGATATGGCAATGTATTTGGTGGATGGGAGAAAAACAGACCAGGTGTGTTGTTTTATTTTCCTGTGTATTATTTTGGGAGGGGACGTTAACCCCTCATTAATGGCATGGTACTTGAGTTGATATTTTCCTGACCCCAGTGCCCAAGTTACCTTTGCACACAAAAGCTTCCTTTGCACAGAATGAGCTTCTTGGGAGTTTTGTACAGACTAATTGAATGTATTGGAAAGGGAAGAGTTCAGGGAACAAATTCCAAACAAAAATTTTAAAATGTAGAAATTGCAGTTTTAATGCCTTTTTGTGAGTGTTTGCTGCGAAAAGAGATTGTAATACAAACAAGGAGGACAGAGCAAATTTTAATTGATGCAATGTGTTGCTTTATTTTTGTACTGATGATGGTTAAAAGAGTGTACAACATCTATTTATTTAGATGATTTATGTGGTAAATGTTGCAAATAAGGCTATCAAAGAGCATTAAATGAGAACTGACATTTAGCTAACACCCTGTTTCTGTGTCTTCCTTTGATCTCCATTGTCTACAGTTCCTTGCTAGGCCAATTTTCTGGAAGCCTCTGTGACTTGGATGGTATGTGTATAATACCTATTTCCTCTCCCTGCCATTCAGTCTTCTCTTCATACTGTGGAATAGTGCAAAGACAATATAATGTGGTATTTAGAGGGTATTAGAGTTTGATGCGAAGCAGCATACGTTTAATCCCTGTGCAGAGCTATGGCATTTACAGTCTTTTGCAGTCCAATCTGCTCTATAGTGAATTTGTATGAAATATTTGTATAAATACTGTTCCAAGTATTTATGGAGAAAAAACCCAAAGTGGTAGATTGGCATGATAATTGCAAAAGGTAACTGTCATGGACTTGCAAATCACTTCAGCTTTTGGGAGAAGATGTTGAAAACGCTGGGATAAATATGTCAGTTTTTGAGTAAAACCAAGGTAAAGGGGATTACTTTAACATGGATTTCCAAACAATTCCCTGGACACTAAATATTTGTAGTACTGAGCCTCTGTATAGGAATCTCCCATTCAAGTGATACCTATTTATTTGGCATTAATTTCCAAGATGAGCAAGTATCTTAGAATTCTGGGACTTTTACTGCTTGTTAGAAGTCCAAATGTGGGGGTGGGGAGGGCACTGACTCTTCAGCATCTCATAACCACAAGGAGGCAGTAGGGCACAGATAAAGAGTTAAGGGTTTGTCTCTTCTGCCTACTCTTTATGTAAGAGATAATTTATTGGAGAACATTTCCTTTTGTCTTTCTTCCCATGCACACACATGCAAAGAACATGCTCTTCATTGTTCAGTTCAGGTTCCTGTTCTTGAGAACACTAAGACATGCACAGAACAATTCTTTCAACATTCCCATCACATGGGGAGGCAACTGCTTTGATATTTAGACACATGCCAAATGGAAGCTACCATATTTTCCAGTGTATAAGACGACTGGGCGTATAAGACGACCCCCAACTTTTGAAAAGATTTTCATGGTTTAGCAAGTCATCTTATACGCTGGAAATTACGGGTACTTTAACTTTCTAATAAAAGTAATGCAAGTCCTAAACACATTAGCATTTCATTATATTTCATCGCTTGTTCCTGATCTGCTGAAGACAAATGTAGCTGGGTAACATCCCATAATAAGCATGGGGGTGCACTTGTGAAGCTTTGCAGTATATGAGGAACTGCCTCACCCCAATGGGACTATCTGGCCCCTCTCGTTCCAGTGGAAGCAGCTTAATTTGGATCCCACTGGCCAAAGAATTTCTGCTGCTGGGCTCCAGGAGAAGATTTCTGCTGTTCCCCCCCCCAGAATATTCTACCATCAGAGGTGAGATTCCCCCCACCCCCAGACACATAAGAACACAATCCTGGCCTTCTGGCAGAGCCAGAAGTTCTAATTGACAGTTAAGCCAAAGGTGGGCTGGGGCCCCTGGTGCTGGATGGCCTGATGGGATTGTTGGAGGCTGAGACTGCCGTTTTGTAGAGGCCGCTGAACACCCCCGTGCTACCGGCGCTGTTGATCTCCATGGTGGAGTTGAGGTCATTCTTCCAGGTGCCGATCAGGGAGGACTAAAGGAGAGTGGGAGGGGGGAGGAAAACGGGTCGCGGCGCTAGCCAAGCCCAACTGTCCAACAGGTAGAGACTTTGGATCCATTTTCTCCGTGAGATCTGAAAACACCCTCTACTCCCACTTGCCCGACCCCCAAGGCTGCCCACGCCGGGTGGGGCTGGCAAAAGCAGCGCATCCTAAAGTCAGTCGGTGGAGGCGCCTGCCAGACCGCTTCCGGGATGACACCCCACGGGCGGATCGCTCTGTCATCTGTGCAGCGAGAGCACCAGCCACGGCGGCAGGTTGCCAAAGAAGCGGCCGAGCACGAAGGAGGAAATGCTGAGCGTCCGTCCATCGGGGTCCCAGGGCTTCTGGCGCTCAGCGCAACGGCACTGGGTGCAGTCAACCCTGAGGAAGCAGCACCCTCTACGCAGCCCGCCAGCTCCCACCAGCTGTTCCTGCCGCCCACCTGAGCATAGGCTGGTGGCGGGGGGGTTTCCCTGGGGGAGGAAAAGCCCCACTCGCACCATCTCCCTCCACCGCCATAGACTGGGAGGGGTAGGATCCCCGCCCGAGGGGCGGATGCTTCTATGAAATTGCTGGCCTTCTGCGAGCGCTGAGCAGCACTTCGGCAGCAAGGGGGGTGGGGGCATTTCTCGCCGCTGACCCAACACAGGCATTCTTACTTGGCTGGCTCTCCGCCAGCGCTCCTCTCCCGCCATTGGTCTGCCAATGCTCCAACCTCACCCCTTCCTCCCGGCTGTTTCTCGGAGGGACACTTTTCTAGGGCTATTTGGCTGTGTGGGACACTTAAACTCTCATCCAGACAGCCAATCCCTGCGCCAAGGGGTGAGGAGCATGAGGCGCAGGATACGGGGGAGCTTGCTTTGATGTACCATATTTTCCGGTGTATAAGACGTCTGGGCATATAAGACGACCCCCAACTTTTTCATGGTTTAGAAAGTCATCTTATACACCGGAAAATATGGTACATCCTACCTCAACAGAAAGATAAGACTATATTTGCCAACAATTGTTGCATCAAAAGAGCACTGATTTCAGATGTATATTTTATGCAGTTGCCAGATTTGTCCAAGTTTTAGAATAAATGAAATGATGTGCAGTGATAGAGGGCAACCAAGACTAAACAAAGAACAAGGGTGTCTTATGAATGCTGATGTCCAAACTGGGGAAGTAGGCAAAATTAAAGGAGGACACTAGATCCACAAAATCAAGAGTTGTAAGATTTATTTTTCACCTTTATTCTTTACAACTCAAAATGTCATATATAACCCTTCCTTCACCTATTTTACTACTACAATAGCTTTGTGAGATGGGCAGGCTGATGGCCCAAAGGCACCCACCAGACTTCAATCCTAATGGAAGATGACAACTCATGGTCTGCATTTCTTAACACTACACCTAACTGGTTTTTCAACAAATCTGATTCTACAGTATGCTAATTAACAAAGCAAAACCATAGTCAGCTACAGCTTGATAATCATTCTCTGCCTTGATTGATATTTCAACCAGTTATAACTGGCCAACTGACATTTTCTGCTGTTTTATCTTCTATTTCAAATAAAGCCACTCTGTTGGTGATCATATCTATTATCAGCATGATGGTGGAAGACAACCAAGGGGAAGGAAGATGCTGAACTATCCCCATTTTATGATCTCCCTTATTTTCCATCTCTGTTTAAAGGTTAAAATGGGAAATTAATCCTAGATTCTTTTATCTCCAATCCATGTGAGATGATAAATGATGGAGGTAAGTAAATTTTCTACCGATCATGAATACAAAGTTTGATTAATATGTTCCATTACAATATAAAGCCTGCTCTGGTTTAAATTGTTATGCTATGCCTAACTATAGCCCAATTTAGTTAGTACTGTAGATCAGACCAGGTCATCCAATTATCAGTGAATGAACAACATGGAATGCCCAACTCTTGTGGGCATTTCTGTCAGATGGCTATTCAAACTTGGCTTACATGACTGGTTGGTGCAAATATTAAATACTGTAACCTAATACGGTTTTTGTCCCTCTTCTGGAAAATAATTTTCTGAATATATTGGGATCACTTACTCATACAACTTGACCTGAAATTATTTGACTACCTCATTTGACTAAACAGATGGTCTTTAGAACTACTTCATTATTAAGCATTGATTGGACACCTTAAACTTGAGTATGATGATCTGACTACTGATCACATAAAAAGAAACATTCTGCCTTTAAATGTTTACAGAAGAGACAATAGGATAACATAATATAATGGATAATACCCCAAGCTGAAGTGAAGCAGTTAAATCTCATTGTCCTTATGACAATTTTGATAGCAGTTGCTGGCAAATTACGGATTACAGTTTGGTAGGCCGCTAAGCATCTTTATAATAGAACTGCAGAACTGGAAGAAACTTGAGAAATCATCTCTCAAGTCTCTCAAACCTAGCAGCTACAGTGGTAGTTCTAGAAATTACAACTTCATTAGATCTTCCCAGCCTCTGTTTAAATGTCAAAACAATCAATTCTTTTGTCAAGCAATTCTTAACACTGATGTTTTCACTAACTTCTAAGTAGAATCTACTTCCTGGATTTTTTTTTTTTTGTATATTAACAATTTTTCATGTATTTGAAATCAACAGTATCTTCCTTTAATCTAAATTTACCCAGTTTCATGAAGAACAGTTGAAAGAACTTCCCATCATTTTCTTTATCCTCTTTACATTTTGTCAGCGATCTTTGTAAAATGTGAAGTACAAGCAGGCAGGAATTTCTCTAAACGTATGGCAATAGCAAAAATTAAACCTGGGACATGAGGTATGCTTTAGCTTAGAGCTATCACATTTTCTGCAGATTTGTCCAGGCAGTTTCTGATAATTGAACATGATTGAACAGAAAGGAAAAAATGTTTTGTACATGTTTGCTTCAAAATAATTATAAATCTCATGAGATCTCAGATTAATTCAGCAGACTAAAGAATTTTTTTTTTTGGATGGGGGAATTAAGAAAACACAGTATTTGCACATATATATCAAACTAGCTACCAATTAATTAAAACATACGAATAGTTTCATATATTCCTTTTTGGGAAGATTGATCTTCCAATTAGGAAAACATGTTATTTTACTCCCAGTCACTAAAACTAAGACTATAAATATGGATTAATTTCCAATTAATTGTATTGTACCTACCTGAGCCATCTTTCTATTTGATATTTTTCTGAAACAGGCAACATGTACAATTTTCTTTTTTCAATAACAACTTTTTTCTTTTCCCTTGTAGTATCTTGTTAATCCTGCGGATCTAGAACAAACTGACAAATGAAAATATATTTTGGCATGGGTAGAAAAAAACTATCACTGATCTTTTACATCAGAATTCGGGAAGTTATCGATCATTTAAGTCAGCTATCAAATGTAATGAAAATAATTTGAATGCACTGTTGATCTATTATAAGAAAGGAAAAAGTTGTTATGAGGGATGTAGCTATTCTGTAGAATTAAACAAAACTGGAGAGCAATGAAAGCTATTATTTTGAGGGAAAGGATGAAATGCTATCAACTTTTTGAAGTGGGGAGGCACTATGAAAAATGATTTTTATTAAAAAATTAAAATACTTTTTATTAAGACTTAAACAAGAAAATAAAGGCCCCCATAAAAGATGGGTGGTTAAGAAATAGGAAATCCAAATAAATAAATAAATAAATAAAACTATTACAAACAAATATAAAGCAAGAAAGGAAAAGAAAAAAGTACAAGAAAAGAGAAAAGTTGAAGAATAATAGAAAAGAAAAAAAATGAAATGGCTTCCAATATTCCTCATAGCGATTATTGTAGAAGTATTTTAACCTTTCTCTAAAATTACAATATATTCTTTCTATAATCTATCCTGTCTAATCATCAAAATCACAACTTCACTGTGTTCATTTTTATGCGAAAAGTGATTAAGAGGCTTCCAGTCACCAATAAATATAGATAATATCTTCTCTAATCAAAGAAGTCTATCCATTTGATCAGTAAATTTCACCAACCATTTCCCCATAGTGGGTAGTGGCAGATCTTTCCATCTCTGCACATATAATAATCTTGCTGCAGTAATCATATATTACAGCTCCCGTCCTCTGGAACAGCATCCCCCTGGAGTTATGCATGGCAGCAAAAGACCTGGAAGATGCTCAAGACCTGGCTCCGTTAGGCTTAGTGTGCCTGCTGAGCCCTGTTGAGTCTTTTTTTTTGGAATGTTGGGACTGCTGTTTTAGTCCAAGAAATCATATTTGTTTAGGTTTTTTTAATTCATGTATTGTGTATGGATTCTTCCTCAGGTGAAGAATCTGAGGCCTTCCAGATTATTCTAGGCTTGTATGAACCCCTAAATAGCTCCTTTAACCTTTATCCATTAATTCTTTCATTAGTTTCATACTACAGTGATTGCAAGTTTAATTTCCTTTTGTGCTTTCTTTTTAGAGTATTTACAGATTGTAAACAAAACAAGGTGCCAAGCGCTCTCCAGAGTGCTGATTGCTTTGGCAATGTAGTCAAATATCTTTGAAGCATATCAGAGCATTTAATTGCTATACATGGTGTAAAGAAAGTGAGCAAATCATGACAGTAATAGCTTCATTATACATAAAGAAGTCTGTACTGATTTTAAGCATTAGGTGCCATTTTCTGAATTACAAATGGTAGTTTATGCAACAGGATCCCTATTGGATTTTAAAGAGCTTTATACACCATGTGATGTGTCCAGTTTGATGCATGTGATTGCAAATACTTGCTGGATCTGATCAAGTGCATGCACCAATCAAATATGATAGATCAGAAACTGCTGCTTGATTTTTTATTACTACATATTACCCCCAAACACACCTTAAATATGTATAGACAATTAGGTCAGGAAGCTCACAAACATGAAAAGGAAAGTCATAACCTTTTGCTTTCCAGCATTTGATGTACAAAGTAGATTATCAACAATTTTGGGAGCCACAATTAGCCATCAATACTAGAAGCCATTAATCATATATTTACCTTTAAAACATGTTCAATTTCCCCTTAAAATAGTCTAAATTGTTATTTATCACTGTATTTGATGGAGGCACATACCACATTTAATTATATATTATGTAAATAAGTTGTACCTTTTATCAATTACGAATCTCTGACATTTAATATTGTATACTTCTATTATAAAATCAAACATAGGTTCTTTTCCTTAACAATAGTAGATGTTGAAGGCATCCCCTCAAATGTGTAGATATCTAGCTTTTAACAGGAAAGAAAGAAGGAAAAGAAAATCCAAGATTTCCTCTTATTTACCTTTCTTCTTGTTAAAAGTTGTACCTGTAATTTATAGGGTATATTTTGCTCCAGTTCAGAAATTCTAAATGACATACCCACATATGGTACAGACAGTAGAATTAAAAAAAAATAAAAGTATACAAGGAACAAGAGAGCATCCTAAAATGTTGATCATTCCTTTTTTTTTTTTAGCTTTCTAAGATCCTTTTTCAGATGCAGTACTGAAACCTAAACACAGTATTCAAGATAGACTCACTGCATTTTTATATAATGGTATTATTTACACTGCTTTATTTTCAATATTTTCCTAATGCATACAAGCACAGAATTTGCTATTTAACAACAAATAGTTTTGGTTTACTCACTATGAATTGATGGCTAAAAGAAAAGTAATATGAATAGCTTCACTCTTCATTTGTTTTGTTGTTTTTGTTCTCTCCTTTCTCCTGTTTTCCCACAATGCAGCCTTTAAGGCAAATAAATGCCCAACAAATAAATATACAGCAAATAAATGCTCAGAGGTAGGATAGGTGGTGCGGAAATATTATTTAGGAGGGAGAAAATGTATTATTATAGCAACGTAATATGAGCAAGGCTATTCTGCTTTTATGATATCTGTGATAAAGGTTTCTAAGAGGTCTTTGTTTTGTTTGTTCAGTTTTAACATGTGAATTTCACATTTTAAATAAATAAAACCGGCAGACAATCCTTGAGACTCATTATAAATGCTGCTGAAGCCACTTTTTTCGATTTTGTAAATGTTTTGGACTACAACCTCATCTCCCGGCAGGGAGTCTGAACGGCAAGACAACCCGAGAATCGAAATCATGGTTTGAATATCAGCTAACTGGGTTGAATAAGTTACGTGTCTCTAAGCAGAGATGTGATAGTTTATGTTTTTTAACCCCTATTTGTATTTTATATTAATATGTTATTTTTAATTGCTACAGAAGAAAGATCACTGCACGGAGGAGGGGGGAGCAGGAAATGACAGCTGTGAATAATGACAGGCGCTCGCTGAGAAAATGGAAAGACTAGCAGGAAACCTACTGGGTGGGGGGAAGAGGAGGGGGCACTCCCCTTGCGAGTGAGTCCACGCTGTACTTTTCTATTCTTGCTCTTCGCACGTCTACGTCCTTTTTTGTGCTCGGAAGTCAACAGCGCGGACCCTTTAAGAGCTCGCGCTTGCGCCCTGCCGGCTTTTTCCCCTTTCTCCCCAGCGCGGGATGGGTGGGGGCGAAGGAAGCACGGACTCTCCAAGCGGCAGCGAACGTGAAACGGAGGGGTGAGGGAGATTTTTGGCTCCCGTCGCGTACCCTTTCCTCCCGCCGCGTCCCTGCTCGCGTGCGTTCGGCAGGCGCGCGCGCGAGGCGAAGACGGGCATGCACGCGTGCGCCGGCGCATTCTCGTCCCGCGTGCGTGTGCGCGATTCAATTGCTCTAGCCCCTGTCGCGGGAACAGCGCCGCCGCCGCCGCCGCCAACCCGCCTCAGTCAGTCACTCAGCCAGCCCTGAGAGGGAGAAAGGGAAGGCGAGGGAGCGGGCGGGATTATTATGGGCTGTGGGTGCTGCTGTTGCTGAGGCTGAGCAAAGATGGAGCTCTCTGCAGTGGGCGAGCGGGTCTTTGCGGCCGAATCCATCATCAAGCGGCGGATCCGAAAGGTGAGTTACGGGCCGGCGGGGCTTGGCTTGGGATCGCTGCCATTGCCACCTCTCTAACCCGCTCCCTTTTCTTCTCCTTTTCCCTCTTCCGCTCTCCCACCCTCCCTCCTTTCCGCCCACGTATTTTGCAGGGACGCATCGAATACCTGGTGAAATGGAAAGGCTGGGCCATCAAGTGAGTTCTGTCTTCCAAACCTCTCTGCGCGAAGCCCCGTTCCCGCCTCTTGGGGCCTGGCCGGGCTGGCGCTCTGCCTTCCTCCTCTCTTGGAGATCAGACCCAGGGGGCGGTTTGCTGTCTCCTCTCCCGTTCCCCTTCCCTCCCCCCCCCCTCGCAAACTCCTCGGTGCGCATGAATACCGTGTCACCCGCTCTGTTTATCTTGAATCTATGCAGGTACAGCACTTGGGAACCCGAGGAAAACATCCTAGATTCTCGCTTGATTGCAGCCTTCGAGCAAAAGTGAGTTGCCTCTTGAAAAATCAGAGGAGGAATTGCTGTGGCTTTATTTCCTGTAGTCAAGAAGTTAAAATGTTTATTTTAGAAGAATGTTCTCTTTTTAATTGTTCATGTTTGGGCTTTTTCTTAAAAAAAAAAAAGAGTTTAATTTCTTTTCTCCACCTCAACAAGGGAACGTGAGCGTGAGCTTTATGGACCTAAGAAGAGAGGACCTAAGCCTAAAACTTTTCTGCTAAAGGTAACTTCTGTTTTAATAACTTGATGGTGATAAGGTTTTGGGGTTCAGTTGTCTAAATATTAAAAAGTGAAATTGGAAAGGAATAGATAAAAATCAAATGTTATTTGGTCTTCTTCATTATGATTGAATACAGTCTCTAACTGATAAATCTGACAATGTACATTTGTTAAATGTTGTGATCAGTGTGATGACAAAAGAGAAGTTGGTTTCATTGAATCATACACCAATGGCTATAAGCCATCCTTTTTAATTTGTCAGATTTCTAAAAAATGACCTTATTTTGAATGTGATAGTAGCTGTTTGATTTTAAAAAAAAACCAAAGAAGTTACTCCCAATTATCATTGGAAGAGAGATCATCAGAAACCACAGATTTTTAAAAATGTCAGTAGAATGGTAAATAATTTTTATGTTGTTACCAAGAAAATTACATAGACATTGTATGCTAGTTTAGGCACTACTCTGAGGTGGGCAGCTTTATAAATCATTTAAATAAATAACCAATGGTTTATTATGGTCATAGATCAGCATAAGTTAAAGTCTTTGCATGTTTGAACATTCATAAGTTGTCACACTGTATGGAGGGAAGTAAGCAGTGGAGTACCACATCTTGGGCCCAGTATTCTTCAATATCTTCATAAATGATTTAGATGAGGGAATAGAAAGGAAACTCATCAAATCTGCAGATGACACTAAGCTGGCAGGAATAGACAACACTCCAGAAGACAAGCTCAGGATGGAAAAGGATCTTGACAGACTTGAACAATGGATCCTATACAACAAAATAAAATTTAATGTGGAGAAAAGCAAGGTTTTACACTTAGGCAGGAAAAACTAAAGATATAAGTACAGATTGGGCAAAACCTGGCTCAAAAACAGTAACGTTAGAGGGACCTTTGAATCCTAGTGCAAGGGACCCTAACCTCTGGGCTGTGAAGGGTTTGCAGTCAGGTTGTGAGAATGGACAAGTGTGTGCGCGCATTGCCACTTGGATGAGCACATGTATGCATGCCGCATTTGCATCAGCGGAGGGCATGCTTGCACACCCCTCATGCAAATGGAGCTGCGTATGCACACTCGCTGGCCACTTGTGCAGAATCATTCCTCCCCCCCCCCCCCGGTCGATCCTCAAAGCCGGAAAGGTGGGGAACTCTGTCCTACTGGACGATCACTTAAATATGAGCCAGCAGTGTGCGGCGGCAGCCCAAAAAGTTAATACAATCCTTGATTGTATAAACAGAGGCATGGAATCAAAATCACATGAAATATTAGTACCGCTTTATAAAACCTTAGTAAGACCACACCTGGAATACTGCATCCATTTTGGTCACCACATTACAAAAAAGATGTTGAGACTTTGAAAAAAAGTGCAGAGAAGAGCAATTAAGATGATTAAAGGCCTGGAGACTAAAACAGGCCTTGCAGGATTTGGGTATTGCTAGTCTAAAGAAAAAAAGAACTAGGGGTGACATGATAGCAGTAGTCCAGCATTTGAGGGGCTGCCACAAAGAAGAGAGGGTCAACTTATTTTTCAAAGCACCAGAGGACAGCTCTACTCTGACTCCAACATACTTCTATCATATTGAAATAAAAGTGTCAACCATTTTTTTCATATAAAAATCAGACAAGTGATTTATGATTCTTTTTGCAAGGATTGTGTGAAAGCTTGAAAAGTTTGAATTCTTAAGACAAAAAAGTAAAGAAATAGTGTGGGTATACATAGCAACTCTGCAAATTCCATTTATTCTGGAGTTTTTGATAGTAATTTTATGTATGTCTGCCTGCAAAATAAACTTTCTGGACCAGACAGTCTATTTAAAGGTGCTACTGTTAGTAGTATCCAAAAACCTTAAAAGCCCTCTATTTTCCAAAGAATTTATTTTTTCAGAAGAACTGACAAAAATCACTTTCAATATTTTTAAGGAACTGAATGCTACCTGAAAAGCAGAAGGATTTACTACATACTTTCAGCTCTTTTTTAATATTAAAATGGTTTATATGAATTAAACTAAGTAGGGAAATAGGAAAGATTTATTTCATGTTGGAAAACTGGTATTTTTAGTTCAGGAAGAGATCAATTATAGGCTGGACAGATATTAAGCATCAAAAGTATATTTTTATTTATTAAAGTTGATGCTGCCCATCTCCCCTACAAGGTGGCTCTGTATTTCTTAAAACTGGAAAAATTCTGATTAACCTGAATAGTTAATATGTGATGCCAGAGTCTAATAATTTGAACAGGAATTTGTAATCCTTTTCTCTGTAAAGTATGTAATGAATATTTCCAGGATTTACAACAATAGTTAATTTGGGTTTTAAATCATAAGTATCTAATTAATATGGTACAGTAGCCTTCAACTTATGACTCTAATTGAGCCCAGAATTTCCATAGTAAATCATGATGGTTGTAAAATTAAGGCACCCATGTGACCAACCTGATTGTACACATTTCTTTTGTAGTGGTCATTAAGTGAACACCATCCTTTAAAAAGCGCCACAATTGTTAAGCAAATCCATTCATTCCTATGAGCATTTTTATGCCAGAAACTGGCTGAAAAAGCCAGAAATTCGCAAAAACCATAAATTGCAGTCATGTGACCAGGGTACACAACTAGTCGTGAAGGTGAATCTGTTGCCAAGTGCCTGAAATGCGACTATGTGACCATATTTGGGGGGAGGGGGGTTATGCCATCATAAAAACTCCAGAACTGGGGTTTTTTGTGTGTGTGTGTATGTGATTTTCTAGCTTTTGGGGGATCCATCATAACTTTGAACAGTAGCTAAGTAAGGACTACCAGTCATTGATTTAACCCGAACATTAACTGAATGCTTTTTCAATCTTAATTCTATATGCTAATGTGTGGCTTTTCTAGCATAGTATTAAGTAGAGAAGGTCTATCTAAAAGATAAATTATTGCTGCTAAGTAAATTACAATATTTTAGGATCAGAAATAATATTTTTGCAAATTCTGGAAAAGTATATTATATTACATTGCTTGTTTTTGCAGGAGTCAATTCATTTTCAAGTGCCTAGGCATCATAATAATTGACACTGTCTAGAAGATTTAATTTATCTATGGGCTGTTGCTAGTCATCTATGCATCAAAAAGTCCAAATATGTTTTTCTTTATTAAAATCAAAAGTTTCCAGATCTTACATTTGTAACAAATTGCCTATATTCTTAACAATTCTGTATGAAATAAATAAATTACATTTTAATGGTTAAATATTTTTTACTTGAAATACTGCTTCTTGTTTAATAGTGTCTTTTTCCAAATTTGATATTGTTTCCAACAGATATTACTATGGCTGCCTAGAGTAACCCTGTGGCTAGATAGATGGCAAAATAAATAAATAAATAAAATATTTATATCCTGTCTCACTTCTTTAGTGAATAGTTAAGAACACTGATTTATTTGGATGGTTTGAAAAAGGGTTTGCATGAAAACTCTAGTGATGTCAGGATATTTTAGCTAACAGTATGTTCACAGAAACTTATAAACTGTTAATTTTGTAAGCTTTACCTTTGTAGTTTTTAAAATTTGGACAAACTGATTCGTACTTTATTCTGGGCTCAAATGTATGTATCAAAGTTAACTATCTAATGTCACTGTTAATTAATATAAACCCTTGGCTCTTTGGTTCCTTAACATCTAGTGTGCTAAATTATAATTGGGATTGTCCTGCTTATAACCATATCATGTTTAGGTTAGACTAAGCTTAGGCAAAACTTCCTTGTTAATTTGAACTACAAGGAAGCTGTATTTTAAATCCAGGAGTCATTCATCACTTCATCTTTTTTGGCTTTGTGTTTAGAATTGTAGAATTGTGTTCCCAACTCTTAAGAATCCTGGACTTCAGCACATAGAATATATTTTATTCCAGTCTAACTCCATGTTTTTCATTTTATCCCATCCACTGCAGGCTCGAGCCCAAGCAGATACCCTACACATTGGGGATGTACATTTTTCTGTCAAGCCCAGTTCTAGCACATCCTCACCGAAACTGCACTCCAGTGCTGCAGTGCACAGGCTCAAGAAGGACATCCGAAGATGCCACCGTATGTCCCGGCGCCCATTGCCCCGCCCGGATCCACAGAACAGTGGAGTGGGTGGGAGCACTGGCATCCGCCCCCCTGTCTCTCCTTTCTCAGAGACTGTACGCATCATCAATCGCAAAGTGAAACCTCGTGAGCCCAAGCGTAGTCGTATCATTCTCAATCTGAAAGTCATTGATAAAAGTGGCAAAGGAGCAAGTGGGGGAGGAAACTTGGCTCGTTCTAAGATCCCTTCCCGAAATCGTGTAATTGGTAAGAGCAAGAAGTTTAGTGAGAGCATGCTTCGTAATCAGATCCGCCACATGAAATTTGGAAACTTCCCTCTGTATAACAAGCCATCTATTCCATGCCCATCATTAGAGGGGAAGACAGAGGCAGGAGGTTCTCAAGGTGCTTCTTGTGGACTCGTGGGCTCTTCTGCCTATGATGCCCGCAGTTCCAGCTCCTCTGATTGCCCCTCACCAGCTCCACACTCCTCATCTGATCCAGATGATTCCCCACCAAAGCTGCTCCCTGAGGTTCTAAATCCTGCCATTCCTGACTGGCGTGAATCTGAGGTCCTCGATCTGTCAATTCCACCTGAGTCAGCAGTGACCAGTAAGCAGTCACCTTCCAGAGGGAATGGAATAGGTCAGATCCCATCCTCTCCATTGTCTTCTGACCCAGAACAGGAGGCTGGTGATTGGCGACCCGAAATGTCTCCATGCTCTAATGTGGTAGTTACTGATGTCACCAGCAATCTATTAACGGTCACAATCAAGGAATTCTGCAATGCTGAAGATTTTGAAAAAGTGGCAGCAGCCGGAGGTGGTGGAGGAGGAGGAGGCAAATAAAGAGGTGTCTTCCTCTTTCACAAATGTTGGGGGAGGGGTCAAGGAGGCTATACTGTAAGACCATGCATGATATGAGTGCTTGCTTTCTTCTCTCTCTCCCTTCTCATCTGTTCTTTCTCTTTGCTTGGAAATTAAGTTGATAGAGGAATGGAAATAGATGTGTTTGAAATTCTCCAAAGTCACAGCTATTAGGACTCATGCTGGGAAATACATTTTCCTTTTGGGTATATTTGGAGGTCTTCAAAAATTGCATCTTTTTGACAGGAGCCTGATAAATAAGAGCCTGGGAGAATGGTGGGTATATTAAGTGAAAGATATATTTTCCTCTCATGTTCAAAGGAAAAACAGAAGTAACCCTTTGGCCAAACTCAAAGGTGGGGAGTTTATTTTCCATAAATTGCCACTTTATTCCTGTCACCTTTCCTGTATATTTGTAATTTGACAAAGATAATTTGGATTGACAATATCCAAGGAAAGTGTCACCCTTGTTATGGGAAACTGCTACAGAACTTAGAAACTGTCATGGAACTTCATAGGGATTGGGTGTGCCTAATCCTGCAGTGCATTTCTGAATGTTGTTCCACTGTGCATGTATTAGAAGTGCAAATAAGGTCATTGTGTAGCACTTACAGATGGCTTAGGCCCATTTTCCCCTTTTCATTAGCCTTGAATTATGTCTCCATTAGTTCCTGATTGTAATACATTTTGTATTTTTTTTACTGTTAAGCTAAAGCTGCTTCAGCCTTATGAAGCTGTTAGTCTTATCTTGCATCATTTATTCTTCTTTACATATGAGATGCATGAGCTTTATTTTTTTTTAAATCTTATTTCCCAAAAAAAGTGGGGCCTAATACTCCTTTAGAAAAGTGCATTGAGATGCAACCGACTATTCTTTCAGCGAAGTAGGGAAAAGGTGCTTGCTTGTGCTTTTCCTTCTTTCTATTTTTTTCTCAGTAAAAGAGATGGAAGAACATTCATTTCTGCAGTTCCTAAGATTTCAAGTTGCCTGTACAGTTGCCAACCAAAGGTGCTAAGAACATATTGTAAACAATATTTATTATATGTCTCTTGGATCTTGGTATGTTTGTTGGGAGATAGTATGTATGTTTAGTGTATGCTTGCCTCTTCCTCCCATCCACCCGCCTGCAATACCTTCCTTTCCTTTAATTCATTCATACTGAAACCTAAATACTCTGCCTTGAAAGCAAATAATTGTTTTTGCTGTATTGCCTCCACCTCCACCACCTACAAATGTTAGGAACAATGACTCCATATATTGATGACTAACATTCACTGACTCCATATATTGATGACTAACATTCACTGAAGTAGTAAATAATTTCTTCAAATTTCCACTTCATTGTTCTTTTGTCACATGTTCTAGCTTTGATGCAAACTTTTCCTCCCCTATACTATGCCTCCAATTTGTTAATAGTGGCATATGTGGGTATGTATGTAGTGCTGTCCAGCAAACTATTTATACATTGTTACATTATGATGGGAAGGATGTGTTTGAGGTAATTCTTAAGGGCTCAACTGCATGCTGTGCTGTCACTGAAATAACTAACTCTTGTTCTTAATGGCATGTCTCTTCTCTATGTTCCAGTCTGAACAATTGTCTTTTAGTCTGCTTAGGGATTTTTTTTTGTTTCATTTTTTTTTGTTTTTTTAAAGTTAATTAACAATACATGTGAAGCCTGGTGCTGCAAATACTGTGGCATTTAATGCTTGATTGAGAAGGTTTTAAAAAGCAGTGGTTTAATTTCTCAATTAGAAAGGACTTTTTCATCCTTTTCCTTCCCGTGTTTTCTTTTTAACATTCCTCTCTTTCCTTCGAGGACTTTGCAGAATTCCATTTGTTTATATCCATGCTTAAGAAGTCAGAACTTTGTTAGAAAAAAGATTGAGAGCAGATGAGTGTTAGAGCCCTAAATATTAGTGTCTATACATAGATGCCTACCAAAAGCAAAGTTTATGATGTTAAGCATTGTGTTGTTTGTGACAGTTTGAGTGTGGTGAATATTGAAGAGATATTCAAGTTTTGCTGTTATCCAGTCATGCATTCTCTTTAGTGTCTGTTAATTTTTTTTAAAAAATGAATGAAATCTACAAGGTGTGCAGGGTTATTACCTCCATGCTCCTCCCGCTAATATATATAACTCCAAGGCTTTCTGTTATTCCACAGATGCATGCTTTGGAATTAACTGTTTGTAATTTTTTTGTGAAATCAGTAAAACAAGCTGTTCCATTGCATTGCCTCAAGAATAGGAGGCATTATCATGAGAGTTTATTTTAATGGCTTCAAAGGTGGGTGGGCTGGGCTGGGCTGGGCTGGGCTGGGCTGAGGATAGAGATATATAATAGGGATAGAACAGGGAGACTTGTATTAAAAAAAGACTTTAAGAGAGAAAAATAGAATTATTTTATGAAATTTCAAGAGGAAATATAAGGGTGATTGAATAGTCAATTCTGTTCTACAATTGCTTATTTTTGTGGCATTTTGTTAGAAACAAATTAGATAGTCATTGTAAAAAGGAATTTCAGTAGGAAACTCTTCAGATACTTTAGCACACAATCTCTTGGCCGATTTCCCCTTGTTCCTCGGAGTCTCTTGTCACTTCAGTTTCTGTGAGTTTCCATAGAATATGGTTTTTAACTTTTTTAGAGGTATTAAGAAAAATAGTCATTAACAAAGGGGCCGATTTCAACATATAGCTCCTCCAAATGCATCAAACAAGTCGCAAGTTTTGTTTGATTTTATTCCATCCAAAAAGAGACTAACTACTAGAAATAGTGGAGTGTGTAACTGGAGAGAATGAAAGGAGGAGATGAAATGATTTCTCCTTCCTCTTTTAACGTGAAGATATTGGGTATACGTTTTATGCACTAAATACTTGCTCAGGAGGTATATCTGCTTAAAACTAACATGTACATGTTTACTGCCTCTTGAGGCATAAAATTTCCTCCGTACATTTTGTTCTTTATTATGATACATGGAAAACAAATAAGGATTCTTTGTTTTCATAACATGAAAAACTGCTTGAGGAGAAGTCAAAGACTCTAGGACTTATCCCAAGCTGCTTGAATAGCAGTTCTTCGACTGCTATAATTGCCACTGTAGCAAGTGTTTAAAAATGAAAGCAGTAAATTAGGGGTGGAAAAATTATGATCCAAAAGTTGCATGTCGCCCTCCAGCATAACTTTGTGGGGCTTGTTCTTCATTTTAAGTGTTTTAAGGAATACAACTATTGCTTTAAAACTCAACATACTAATGTAGCACCTACTGTACTCCTGAACCCCTCCTTTCAGATGGGGCCTAGCCTTTCCCATTTTTGTATGTCACATGTTACATCTGATGTAGCTCTTGAATTAATGGAAGTTGTGCACTCCTTCTCTTTAATTATTATTCCTTAAATCTTTTGGAGTAGTAGCAATTGCAGTCAGTTGATCTGTCTAGTTTTGCCTTGCTTGTGCTGATCACTGGAGATTTAGCTGAAAATATTTGAACAAGTAGTGTTTGAGTAAGAAATCTCTGGCAGGTTGCTATTGAGCTAGTTTGGTAAAACAGATTATGGTGCTAATTGTTAGTTGTATTGTTGTTATCGCTCCTATCTCATTACAACCAGCAGACTATTTTAAGAATGAGCTAACGTTGTGAACTAGAGTAATTCATTCACAGAGGTATAAGGGATTTGAGCCAGATTGATGCAAAGAAATGCCTGCTGTTTGGACTATAAAATAGCCTTGTAGCAGCTTCTAATTAATTTGGGGAGTTTTGTACTGTCAGCAACGTACCAATCTAGTTGCTCTTGCCTGCTTCCAGGGGCTAGAAAAATTCTTCACATCGAAAGAATCATCACTTTTAAGAACAGGGGGAGACCAGTTGTGTGTAATACTGGAATGCAATATTATTCTTGCCTTAGATTATTTTTCCCTTCCTAATTTGGCACATGCTCTATAAAAGCAAATTGTGTCAATCTTTTCTGTTAAAAGAAAACCTTGTTCCATAATGCAGTCAAACCACTAGAGGGTAATATAGAGCTATTGTTGTGTTTTAATGATTTGAGCTTTGTTTATTACCTTGAATCTTAATTTCTCCTTATATGTTAAAGGATAAAAGCCCTTCTATACATACAGTCTGTGCAAAGATATCATATGAGTTGTATGTATGGGTTTTCTTTGTATCTGTGCCATGCTTGTGGCCACTTTTATTATTAGGAGAGTTTGATGGGGTAGGGGTTGAGAAAGAAGACTAGTTTTGCAAATAAAAGAAAAAAAAGAAAAAAGGAAAAGTTCTTTTTTTAAAAAAGAGAAGATTTTTACAGTCAGAGGAGGATAGAGATTTAAAAATATTAAATGCAGTAATTGCACAAAAGTAGTGATATTAGCTGGTCCTTAAAGAAAAGAGTATTTTTACATTTATGAGTGGTAGAGAGGATGGCATTCAGATAATTTAAATTGGGAAGGAAGAGCAAAGAATGTAAGAAGAGGTACAGCTTCTCAACTGAGGAAGCAAATCTTAGAGAAAATTCTTCCTTCTGTTACCCTTAACTTGAAGGAGTAGGGAGAATGCCTCCTTCCATAGTTATGAAGCCAGAATTTAGCCTTGTTCTGTTTGTCAGGCGGGACTATGTGGCATTTTATTATTAACTTGTTCATGCAAGTTATCAGTTGTACTTCATGATGATCTGCTGAATTGAATGGGACATGTTGCTGCTTTGTGGTTTTCAGTAAGATCTGGGATCTCTGACAAGCAAGATGTATGTGTGTTTGGTAGCTGTGAAGGAAACATGCCCTTATAATCTGGCAAAACATTCAGTGATAAAATCAGTTCATTGATACTGAGATTGGTATACCAGAAATTCTTTTTCTAACCAAATCCACATTACATCTTTCATACTTGTATAACCAAGATTTTTACAAGTGGGTAATAGCTTTCCTACATTAAGAGATATGATCAGAGCTTTGTTGAAGAAAGCAAAAACTAAAGCAATTTTCCCAACATTGGCACAGTCCAAATGTGTTGGAATTGCAACTCCCAAAATTCCCAGTCATTTAGTAGTTAGAGTAAGAATGTTGGAGAACCACAAGATGGGAAAAACTGCACTAAACTAATTCTGATAGTTTGGGCCATGGTGATTATTTTCATCCTGAGACATATGGAAAATGAGAAGAAAAAAGCAAATGTAGCCATGCAAATCAAATATAATCTTAAAATATTGAAGGAAGATATATAATGAAAGGATAATATGATGTAAGTCACAATTGCCCAAGGTGATAATTGTGTATTTATGTTATCCATAAAAATCACCTATAAAGTGATGATTGTAGAAGCTGAGTGTGAGCAAGTGCTAGGAAAGAATTCACACGACCCAATGGCACTGTAACAGTATTGCCTATATTCAATTTTCTATTACTGTCCTTGCAATCTAAATGTGTGAATACCATGTTAGTCATACGGGCAGATACAGATCAGATCATTGATGTGGAAATCACAGGGCAGGCATTGGACAAGACTGGGGAAGGATAGCTGTTCTTATTGAAACATGATTATGTTCTACTATTCTAGTGTAGTGCTATAGTATTCGTTATAATTTTCATGTTTTTGCTTGCATGGAAATTAGCATTTTTATTTTGGCTCTTAATTTTTAATGTCTCATAACCTGCAACAAGGATTAATGGAAAATTGACATCTACTTAAGAAATATTAAATATATTCCCAAGGAAACAAAGTACTGCTCCCTAATGTAGCCAGATTTGTGCCTGTATTTTAAAGATAACTTTTTTCATCTATTTACTCTTACAAAAGCTTTCTCAGCTATTTTTTACTAGTTGAACTATAATATCTTTGCCCACTGAGATTGCTATTTCACTCCATGCTAATCATACTTTCTTATAGCCTCTGGATAGGTATAACACTGAGAAGGCTTGTAAGTCAACCTATTTGGAGAGCATAAGACTAGAGAAGGCTATACAGCACATAGAACTTTCTGTGTCTCCTTAAACTAGGTGTATAGTTTCTCAGTATCGTGTGGCAGCTCCCATGATCCTGGAAAAAGACACAGCCACCGTATGATGTTGCAGACAGATATTGTATTCATACTCCTGAGTGCTCCCAGATGCCTTCTGGAGATAAATACAACCACAGCACAGTCTTAGGTTGTTGATTGGCTTGATACATGAAATGGGCTGTGAAAGATTAAAGTATGGCAACAAGAAGCCCCTCTTCAGGTTCTGTTGATCCTTCTCGAGAGGATAATTTCTTTTGTTGCTCAATAACTCAGCCCTGCCCATTTGAAGATTATCTCTCTTTGTATACTATTATGATTAGTTGTTTTTAATTGATTTTTAAAATGATGTTAGCTGCCCAGAGCTGCTGCTTCTCAGATAGGTGGCTATATAAATTATCTGAAATAAATTACAGAAGAATAATCCGTCTATTTTAATTTCTATTTAAAAGGGGTGGGATATTATCTGAGTTGAGTGTTCAGTGTTTGTCTTTTTCTGTTTAGAAGAAATTTGATTTCTTTGCTGCATTTCCTGCTGTCCATCTTCTATATAGTCTAATTCTGGGTAATTGATACGGAGAGGAAAACAAGAGAATTCACATATTGCCCCTATTGGGGAATTGTTACGTTTATAAAGTAAATTGGAAAACATTGGGATCCAGCAGTTTTAGGATTCCTATCGGGTCATGTAATGTAATAGATTTGGAATGTATTTCCAGTTGGTCAGGTTCCACTACTGGAGCCCTGGTGTCTCTGTTCATACTCCTTCTTGCCCCAAGGCCTTGCACTCTTTTACCTGATGTATTCACGTTCCAGTGTTGCTTGCTTTGCTGCTTTTTTGACTGTTTGCTGATGGTGCAAAGCTGAGATATTTTCAATATAAGTATATGTACTATGTATATATCAATAAATAATCCTCCACTTAACCCTCCACCATGCTTTGTGATAATAAAGACAGCTTGGGCCAGTAGTATGACCATAATTTTGAGAACTAGGAATATCTAGTTGTGGTCTGAAAGAATGCTGTGATTTATAAGCTGTTTAGTTTTATTTTTGAGATCTCCTTTTTTCTCTAGCTGAAATTGGTTTTAAGAAGAAGAAGGGAAGCTTGCTGTTCTCAGTGCTTATAAACACTTCTGAATATTTATACTTCCTTTTAATATTTCCGTAATTAAATATTAGGTTTCACTTAACTTACATATTGAAAATCTTAAGAGATGAAGTTTGGGATTGGAAAGTTCTCCTTCCCAACGTGGCTTTTTTTCAGCTTGATACAACCTCTAATCTGACCTATGCATGATCTGTTTTTATTGATTTAAAGATTATTTATCAGGGTTACTTCTGAATGATTAAATGACGTGAAAAACATGGAACTGCCTTACACTGTGTTAGCTATTTATTCAGTCTGGCTTATAGGCATGATCCCTCTGAGATGAGAAGTTTCAGTGGGTGATGCTTGAGACTGAGCTCAAGCCCCAGTGTAATTTTTATGTCCCTTTGTTTATACCAAGTCCTGAATATTTTTTATACTATATATTTTGAAGGAACTTCTAAAACTGAAAAGTAGATGAAGTTATCCTGCACGTATGCATCTAGACTTGACATTGACATAGAATCAGAACCTTCCCCAAGTTTGTAATTTTACAATTGGTAAATTGTACAATTGATATTCAACATCTAAAAACATTGGATTATTTATATTCCTTTTTAAATGATTGCTAACTATAAGCAAAGCTTGATGGAAAAAATGTCAAAATTACTTCTTAGCAGAATTCTGAGTAATGATAGCATATTTTCAGTGTCATGTATTATTTTTAGGGATGATGCACAAAGTTTCAGATTCATAATATTTTAAGTATGAAACAATTCTGACCATTCCAGAGATATTTTGAAATCAATGTGAGCTCTTTGATATTCAACATTTATTCTTTGAATTTGAAATGGTTTCAAGCTCAAAATAATTTTGGAAAAGTTCAGGCAATCCATTTTAAATTTGAAACAACTCTTGTGAACTTGAAACTGAGTATTTCAAGCCCCTGTTTGTTATAAATATATGCAATTGTTCTTAATTTGTATAACTTAGAATCCTGCAAACTCTAGATTACTTTTTTGTGAAAATTCCGTTTGCATACATACCTGTAAGTGTTCTGTGAATGCATATGTACACATGCACTCACATAATATCATTGAAATGCATAAGACTTAATTGTTAAGGAAATTGCTGAACAAAACCAATGCAATCTCAGTTACTGTATATTATGAAAAGGTAATGTTATGGTATTAGGAAAAGTAAATTCCTCTAGAGGTTGACAGATGTAACTTACAGCATCTTCATTGTCAGTCTTGCAATGAGTTGTAGTCCAACAATTGTTCATTTAAGTACAAAAACTCTACAGTACTCATGTAAATCCTTCTGACTTCCTAAGTTCCTTGGGATTTACCTGGTTGCATTCTTTATTCTTCAGTAGGGTGGATAATTTTTTCCCTGTACTTGAATTTTTCTATATATCACAGTTAAAATATTGACAAGGAAAAAGCATGCCCCGGAGAGGTCTGGTTCCCGACTCTCGTAATTTCCTAATGAGTGGTCCTTATCTGGCACTTGCACCATAAGGGCTGCAGAGAACATCTGAACAGGCGTCACATTCTTTGCTTGTGAAGATGGAAGATAGTTGCAGTGCAGTTTTATTTACAATACTTACTAGAAAGAGTATACTCTAGGACGGGTGTCAAACTGCCGGCCCGCAGGCCAGATGCGTCATGCTGAAACCGCGCCCACCCCAGCTCTGGCAATGGGGAAAAAGTCGTGATACGTCATGACACGTCACGTGATGTGGTGAGTTTGGCACCCCTGCTCTAGGAGAAAGAGACCACATCTAGTATTATATGAATAGGCAAGACAGAGAAGTAGGAGAAAACCAAGGAGTATACAGTTTTTTAAATGAATTTATCTTTGCAGTGGACAGTAAATTATTGTTTAGAGGTGAAACTGCTTGGGAGATTATTGTAAACTGATTCCTTTGATTGGATTCATTTAGATCATTTAGAACCATGAAAAACCTGGTTCCTGGTTTATATAGCACTTAAAAATATTGTAAGCACATAATTTAAACTCTGCATTATCATATTGGCAAACTTTTTGTGCCATGTTAAAGGACCCCCCTTATCTAAGAGTGATTGATTGTGTCTATCAAATAATTAACTATTCCTACTTATAAGAATGGCTTGTAGCAGAGAGCCTGTTAAGATTCTTTAATTTTGCAGCATTTGGAAATAGTTATATGTATTTACTAGTTTTGTTATATTTTGAGGCACTTCACCAAATAGGAAAATTTTCCACATTTCACATTTGATGGTCAGGAAAGCACTCCCTGGTTCTGCTGCATTTTCATTATTCTGTCAAGCCAGATAAATATTACAATTATCTGTATCTGTCTTTGCAGGCTGCAGTTAGTAATGGGAGATAGTTCTGTGGTGTTTATAAGATCTTATCAGCACTAAGGCAGATATCTAATTTGATAACAAAGATGTTTTTACAGTTGCCTCATTTGGGATCAATTCCAAAACAGCACTTTGGAGCATATAAGGGCAGGAATGTAGCACTTGTCTGCAGTTTTTTAAAGCAGCCACATCATCTCAGTGATGTACTGGTGCTTTAAAGAGCTGTAGAGAGATTATGTTTTCACTCTCATGTTCTCCAAAATACTTTTTTGAAAATGAATCTGAATACTGCAAGCCCTAATAATTTTAAATCCAAGAGTTTATAGGACCTGGAATGCAAAAATAATAATAATGGGAGCAGGCAAATGCAGGAATAAAATGATGGAAAGATATGTAAAAATCTTATGATTTGCTTCATAATCTTAGTGCTACCACATAGAGATTAATATAGCTAACAGAACCTCTAATGAAGTTCCTGATGTTTTATTCCTCCTAAATTCTTGAATGTTATATCCAAACCGCTTGAAATATATCTCACAATATGTCCTATTGGTTCTATTCAAGAAAAATCTTGTACATTCACATGAAGAATTTACAGGGAGGTATAGAATCGATGCTTATTCCTTTATTGCATACATTTTTAGGCTTCCCAAGACCAGGTCTCAATCTTGCCAAAACTGATGCTCGTGTATGGTGAAATCCCTTAGGGAATTAATGGATTTGTGGTCCTTAATAACACATAAGAGTTTTGTAACATGTTTGGAGTATTCCTGTGGGTCTTACAAATGTTCAGATATTTGAGTGAATCTGCATAAGCTTGGGCATTTAGTTTTTACAAAGTTGAGGCCTTATGGTGAAGAGTAAGCTAAAGTTTAAATATATTAAGTTCTTACCTCTTGGCATAAAAATAGGCTTTAAAAACAAGAGCTATATATCTGGTGACTATTTTGTATTATGAGAAAAATACATTTAATAAAACAGTTGTACACGAATTAAATGTTATCTAATATTATGTTGTCTTAATTACTTTTTAAATATAGTGTTTGCATTTGCTTGGTTGCTTTTTAAAATCCAGTGTTCAACTGGCTAAACTGTCTAGAGTGGATGGCTGGGAAGCATTACACAGTGGGTGATTTAATCACCTATGGACATTTTTATTAGAGAAGGGGGTTGCTTCGAGTTTGCGGTGGGGGGAAGTTACGTTAATTATTCTTGTATCCTTGTACATTTGTTCTTTCTGTTGCTCTTGAATATTGTATCAATGCCAGAACTGGGGAAATTGAAAAGAGAAACCCCAATAAATTGTTACATTCCAAGCTATTTGTCTCAATTTTTTCAACCATCTTGTATTGCTACACCAAAGGCAGATCTGATCTCTTGATTTCACTGATTATCTTGTAGCAAAATCTGTGCTACAGCCATTACCATATAGGCGTATTTCAATATACATATAATTATTTTGCCTACAGCCACTTCAGTAAAATTAGTGGCAATTCTTTTTTCCTCCTCTTCCTCCATCTTATGAAACAATAATTGATTTCCATTTGGCTTTGTTTGCAAATTTTATTGTTTTCAGAACACTTTCAGAAGTATCCACTACCTTTTTAATCATCGATTTGGATGGATTGTAAAATTTTAAATCTAACAGTACTGAAGAAGTAAGATATTTGAACCAAAGATTTTTTTCCTGTATTGATTATTATGTGTCATAAAGATAACAGCTGTCTATAAAAAAGGAAAATTCATCTCAAATTTTACTTGTTTCTCTTCAAAGGTTTATTTTTCTGAACACCCTATTTGATTGTAAATGGAAGAAAGATAAAAGGGGAGAATAATCCAGAGGTAGGCACAGCTGTATAAATGGCATTCAAAGATTAAGGGAAAAAAAATATAGACATTAGTAAATAAGAGCAGAAACAATAGGATCACTGATTGAAAAATAGAAATAAGGGAATGAGAAATCATATGCTGTACAGGAATACAGTAGAGATTAGATCAAGGGTGTCAAACTCGCAATGTCACATGATGTGTTGCAACATATCGCAGCTTTTTTTCCATTGCTGGCAATAGGGTGGGCGCGGTTTCGGCATGACGCTTTTGGCCCGCGGGTCAGCAGTTTGACAACCCTGGATTAGATGATCACGGTAATGATAGATAAGAGCAGAGGGTGAAGAATAATAGAATTACAAGTAAGAGATAGCACCCTTGTTTAACAGAAAGCAGAAGTATTTCATGTACTTTATGTTTGCAATAAGTCATTTTCCAACAGACTACCCTGGATCCTGCTTGAGTCTGCACCCTTCTAGAACCTAGTATTAATTATGGACATCTTCTTGAAAGAAATTCCTTATTCTCTTGTTTGATGCATGTTAAAATCATGCTGTTCTGCAGTGTATATCACCAAAATACCTGCTATTGCAATTTCCTTATTGAAGTAACTGGAACAAAAATCTACTGGGAGATGTTGAAGTGAGTCTAGCATAGGCAATAAATAAGCCAAAACGACCATTTCAAGAATCTTTAGCATTATGGCAGTAGTTCCAACAGGTTTTTCCCTATCCCTTCCTGGTATTTTGTCAAGCTAGTAATATGACATTTTTTGTCATATTTTTACTCCATATTGAAGGATTTGGGTGGCCATGCAGAATATTTTTTATTAACTGTGAGGTTTTTTTAAAAATTCTTGATAGTTATTCTGTTGCATATGTCCAAGACAGAGTATTTGGTGAGTTACAAAGAGACTGAAATGAAATACATATAACATAAGGCTAAGTGTGTGTTTACGTGCTGATGATAGATGATGATGCCTAGCTATGGCTAATATTCCTGAATATCTATTTCCCTGAGAGATGCCTTCCTTTCATTTCAGAGGATAACTGGAGGGTAAATGTTGACACAGAGTGAAAGTATCTGGTACACCTACATTAATAGGAAATGATACTAATTTCTCCTAAGCTGATTGTCATGCCAATGACTTTGTACAGCTTGAGTAACTCAGGATGTGTTGAATATCAAGAGAGAATAGGATAGCAGCAGCCAGTTCTCACTGAATTAAATATAGCTTGAAAACGTGTTTGAATAGGAATACCATCTGTCCCATATGAATCATAGTGCCTTTCTCTGTATCCTGAAAAGTATCAAAAACTGACAGGAAAACTCAAGAACTCCAAACTTCCAGAACCCAATATTTGCTTCTGTCTTGGAAATCACTCAAAATGGATTTGTAGCCCCACTAGAAGAAAAGAGTACAAAGATTGATAAATCCCAAAAACTATTATGATTTTATGGATTAAAGGGTTTTTGTGAAGATATATTTATCTCCCTCCCCAATCCATAGAGAAATTAAGCAATGCACGTTTTCCCTATTTCAGTTTTTCTGCTCAGTTGAATTTCAAACTATAACATTAAAATACAGAATGCAATCTATTACAGCAGGCCAAAATCAATAGAATAAAACCCTGGCTGTGATAGTAGTAGATTGAGAAGCTGGGCCAGAAGCTTTTATGGTAAGGCAGCTGCATGAGGCTTACCCTGCTGAAGGAGGAAAAAAATGGGCCTTAAGAAAATAGGGGGGGCTGGTAGATGGAAATTTTAGGTCAAATAAGATGCTACAGCTGCCTTTGTGGAATAGTATAGGTAGTCCTCAGCTTACAACCATTTGTTTAGCAATGAAGAGAAGGACAAGGGGGGACATGATAGCAGTGTTCCAATATCTCAGGGGCTGCCACAAAGAGGGAGTCGAGCTATTCTCCAAAGCACCAGAAGGCAGGACAAGAAGCAATGGATGGAAACTAATCAAGGAGCGAAGCAACCTAGAACTAAGGAGAAACTTCCTGACAGTTAGAACAATTAACCAGTGGAACAACTTGCCTCCAGAAGTGGTGAATGCTCCAACACTGGAAGTTTTTAAAAAGAGACTGGACAGCCATTTGTCCGAAATGGTGTAGGGTTTCCTGCCTGAGCAGGGGGTTGGACTCGATGACCTCCAAGGTCCCTTCCAACTTTATTATTATTATTGTTGTTGTTGTTGTTGTTGTTCAAAGTTACGAATGGTACTGAAAAAAGTGACATGACTAGTCCTTGCACTTATGACCGTTGCAGCTTCCCCATGGTCACATGATCAAAATTCATGTACTTGGCAACTGGCATTTATATATGATGATTGCAGAGTTCCAGAAGTCACATGATCACCATTTATCACCAGTTTCTGATAAGCAAATTTAATGGGGGAAGCTGGATTCACTTAATGACTGAGTCATTTAACAATTACACTGATTCATGGCAAAAATGTATAATTGGACATGACTCACTTAATAACAGAAATTCTGGTCCATTTGAGGTTTTAACTCAAGATTTTAATCTGTAGCAGACTTGAAAAATGTTTTCCTTTAAGTATTTGCCTTTGGGATTTGGGGGGTGATTTTTCCATTTTAAAGATTCAATTAAAATTAAAAATTTCCCTTCTGCTGCTCTCTCACAAACTATAATCAGAAGAAAAGAGTAACTTGATGGATTTCATCTCAAATTAAACTAGGATTTATTAGATCAGCCACAGTAGTTGGCTATATAATTCTGGGAGTTAAAATCCACACCATATAAAGTTGCCAAGATTGAAAAACTCTGGTCTTAACAAAAGAGCATGGTTTGTCAAGCAACACCATTTATGAACTAGCTCTATGTGTGAATGCAATCTGCATAATACAAGCCCAGAAAGAGAGGTGGGTTTAACAGGAAAGACTTAAATGGCAAGAAATTCTGGCATATAGTTTACTATGAAATTCTTGTTGTGAAAAGTAGGCTATGTGCTTTCCAAAGTGCAGGTAAAAATGCCATAGGAAGGTCTACCTGAAGTCAAAATCAATAATTGCCCTTGCGTTCTTCCAGGATTTTTTTAAATTGCCCAGTCTGGCCTAAGGCTCTGATGTTTCCTAATACAGAAGTCTGCCATCCAACTACTAACTGGAAACCTCTTTAAGTTTTTAAAACCAGACTTGGATGGTCAGGGGCTGCTGCCAAGTTGGACCATGAGGAGGATACACTATCGGTATCCATAATTATAATAAGACTAGGCTTTAAAAAACCATGCTACATTGTAGTGTTGGATTTTGGCTTAGTACAGTGGTTCTCAATCTTTTTATACCGGCGACCCCGGTCATAAGGAGGCGGCGCGCATGCGTGGCACCACCCCCTGCGTGGCACGCATGTGCGGCACGCATGCGTGGCGCCGCCCCATGCGCCGCCCCCACGCGGTGCGCATGCACAGCGCTGCCTCATGTGCCACCCCCTGCGCGGTGCGCATGCACAGCACCGCCCCCTGCACGGCACGCATGCACGGCGGCGCCCTGTGCCGCCCCCTGCGCATGCGTGGTGCCACCCCCTGCGCCGCCACCTGCGCGGTGCACATGCGTGGCGCCACCCCCTGCGCGGCGCACATGCGCGACGCCACCCCCTGCACCGACTGAAGAAAAAAAATGGCGGATCGCGTTGTTTGGTGATCCCCGTGAAATGGTCAATTGACCCCAAATGGGGTCGCGACCCACAGGTTGAGAACCGCTGGCTTAGCATGCGCGGCGCGCATGCACGGCACCACCCCCTGCACAGTGCGCATGCGTGGCACTGCCCCCTGCATGGCGCGCATGCGTGGTGGTGCCCCCTCTGCCGCCCCCTGCGCGACGCGCATACGCAGCGCCCCCTGCGCAGCATGCATGCGTGGTGCCACCCCCTGCGCGGTGCACATGCGTGGCCCCACCCCCTGCGCAGCGCGCATGCGCGACGCCGGCCCCTGCACCGGCTGAAGAAAAAAAATGGCGGATCGCGTTGTTTGGCGACCCCCGTGAAATGGTCGATCGACCCCAACTGGGGTCGCAACCCACAGGTTGAGAACCGCTGGCTTAGTAGAATGTTTGAACTCCATCAGAAGTGTTCATATGGACAGGATCAAAAACTCAACATGGTGTCCCCAATCATGCAATCAAAGTCTCACACTGTTTTTATGGGAGTACTTACTTTTAGACTGAACATATTCAAAGCCCACCAATTTTTCTTATGGAAAGTATGCCAATTATTTATTTTAGAAAACCAAATAAAAAGTTATGGGAGAGACAATGTAAGACTGGCAACAAAATATTTATTTTTGCCTTTCAATTGAGGCACAAAGCCTTAATGATGGTCCCCAACAACAAAGAAATTAAGCTTATTTCACTATATCCAACTTCCTGTTCCATGTAACTGAATTCTAACAGATTCCAAGCATGTTCTATAATCTTATATACAGTAGTTTGTCCTTAAATATTTTCAGTATTGTCCAGGGTTTACTGAGGTCTTTTTTACCAGACACAATTCTTTTGTTCACTTAAAGAAGTCTCAGTTTCTCCAACAGATGTGGACTTAGAAGCAGTAAAACCATGAAGACCCAATGGTGCAAATAATAAATGCTTAAATCAAATATGCTACCAACAACCATTTTCAAGCAAATCAAAGTTTCTGTTAAGTTCTATATAAGCATTTAAAACAGCTTTTCCAGAACTGGCTTAATCCTAATTATTGATATAATGAAAGGCCAATTTATTCTTATCATAATAGTAGTTATGAAAGCTCTTTAAAGTTTTATATATGTTACTTAATAGTACCATTACAATGTTTATTAAAGACAGCTTTTAGCATGCATATAGGAGTTGCAGATACATAATAATTGGAGGGTTGCTGTTTGAGGAAGTTTGTTCAAATTCGCATGTTTATGACTGCAGGTTTACTGTCATAGCACACACTCTCTTTACAGGATAAGTAACGTTCCCAAAGTAATTCCTTTTTAAATCTCATCTTTACTTTTCAAGCCACCATGAATCTTTTATATAAATCAACTTTGTATTAACTATTTAGTAAGCAGGTTGCCCACTGTATAGATGTATTATTATACAATTCATAAAATCACTAGCCAATATAACCCAAGACCATTTGCTGTAACTCAAACCAAAATTATTATAAGACCAAATAAGCTCTGAAGACATCACAATGTGATTTATTTAATAAGTACAGTAATTCACTTAACAACCATGGCCAAAAAGGTCATAAATCAGGCATGACTCACTTATACAACTACCATGCTTAGCAATAGAAATTCTGGTCCCAACTGTGGACATAAGTTGAGGACTACCTGTAAATCTATTTAATAAATAAATAAATAAATATAGAATTCTCATATTCTCAACTTTGATCTAAGTCCCTGGAACTTGTCATGTGATGGAGCAATGGCATGCATTCCAGAGAGAGCTCAAAGTTAAACATGCAAAAAATGTTACTAACCTAAATACATGGAATCAGAAGTCTTATATTCTGAGGAGCTTAAACAAATATTTATTCAAAGGTCTAGTTAATCTGAAATCAATAAAGTAATGCTAGTAATTCCTTTTCTCTGAGCCAACCCACTTATTTAGAATGGCAGATGTTAAGCTCAGGCAAACAGATTTTTCTGTTTTGCCTCTTTAATTAGCAGGATACTCATTTTTCACATTAAAGGGACTTGATAATAAGATCTATCAAAATGGTTCTCTCTCTCCCTCTCTCTCCTGATTATTATAAACTTCCTCGGTGTCCCATGTGTTCTCTTTCTTCGTTTTCTGCATATTATTTTCTGGTATCTTTTCTATTCCTTCATCTATTACGCTAGTATTTCATTCTTAACCCTGCTGGCTGGTTTCTGGAATATTCAGTGTTTTGACTGTTAGTTACAAGTGGTAGTGTTTCACACAGACAAAGCCAATTGGCTACTTCTCCATCTTCTAGACTTCTTTAGTCAAATCCAACTAATTGTTCTCCAAGTCAGTTTCATCTCTAGGAGGAAGAAGACAGTCTCTTTCCCTCATGAAAACTTTCACTGATTTCCTCTTAGGAATACTTAAGATAATACCCTACATATTTTTTTTTTTTTTTGCCACATGCTGATTTTTGCTACTATTATTTTCTTCCATGTTGCTCCAAGTCATGAATTTTGACATCAAATTGGACGTTTTCAATTTCCCAATATAAGAAATTAGAGAAGTCATGTTATAGTCTTAATGCTGCAGTCTGAAAGACACTTTCTCAAAGGAAAGGCACATGATTTTGTTATTAGTAATTAGTTTATTTTAGATAGCAGCTAAAAATTCAGGCAATCTATTGGTTTAATGAGGAATTCTCTGTGTTTTCTATCTAAACACTGTGTTTGCTTTGTTTGAACAGTATAATTTAAGATGTGTCTGTATATAAAGTGAAAGATAATATATTTACATGATTTACGTTTTTTTACCATTCTTTCAAGGATAATGGTAGACACACCAAAACAAAAACAAAAAGCAATCTGCATTTCAATGTTTTCTGGCTTGTAAAACAGTACATGAAGTGCATGCTTTTATCTTTTTAGGATCTAATTATCTAAATTTACTAAGAAAAAATAAGAAAGAGAGAAAATACAAGACAACAGTGCAGATAAGAAACATAAGCTACAGCAAAAGCAAGTCATGGAAGCAGAATAAAGATATTATTAAATCCCTTTATAAGGGAAGTGAACATATCACATGCAGAAATCATAACTTATCTTATGTACTTTCTAATTAGCTCTTCCCAGGCTAGTTAGTTGTCTTTAAAATAAAGCACAATGAAATAAAATATGCTCAGGCCAAGTAGTTTGTTCATCAATTCAGTGTTGAAATAATCTGTCATTAAAAGATTTGGAAAATATAAATTGATCTGGTACAATAAAGTGGTAATTATGGAATGGAATTTTGAAGTAAAACCTAATCAGGATAAAGCTTGTTTTTTGCACAAAACAAAAAAATAACATTTTAAACCCAGAGATTTGCTAAAGAGAGGATACAATTATCAACATTATCAGCAATATCTCCTCTTTTTACTGTAAAATAATCATACCTCTTTTTTAAAAAAAAATTAAGAGTACATTAAGGAATTATTTCACATAATATAGTTAGCTTTCATAAATATTGATTTAGGGTTCCTAAAAAATATCATAATGTTTCATACCAGGTAGTTAATAGAAAATGAAAGCAATAGATGATTACTGAAACACACATTTAAGAAGCCAAGACTGCAAGAAGAAAGGACAGAAGAGTGGGGATCTGACTATGGTTGAATTACCATGTCATTGATAGTACAATTACATTTCTAGCAATTTCAGCTGTGACTGCTTGTGAAGACTGGTTTATTAGAAATGAAAATAGGCACTTAAATACATCAGAAAGGGAATGCTAACCTGAGAAATAACTGGCACATTAATGTAAACAAACAAGGGGCAAAGAACTGAGACACTTTCTTATTCTTTGTTTCATGCACAAGACTGTATCACACTTGGATCAATTTTTTTCTTCTGTTTGTATACCTGAAGATTATTCTAAATAGAGGCGGCAAATATTTATTTTAAAGTAATTACTTTTTTTAAAGAATACATTACCAGAGTAATTTAAATTGGTATCCATCCAAGAATGAGTTGCATTTTTGAATTTTTCGTCTGTTGCTTATCATAAATATTTAAAGTATTGTTGGGAAATGGCTTCTTTAGCTGAAACTGGAAGGTACATTGTTGGATATAACACTTTTTTTAAAAAGAGGAAAGAGAAAACCTGGAAAATTATTCATCTGTTAATATAAATTCTGTTCCGTTAAAAAAAAGTTGTTGTTGTAACAAAATGGAAGGCACCACTTTGGATCACTCAACATTTTCTTGACTAACACTGTCCTATCATTGCCAGTGAACTCAACTGGAAATAAATTGCAGACAGCATGGAAAGTTTCTGTTTCACCAAAAAAAGACCCCTCCTTCCTTCCTTCCTTCCTTCCTTCCTTCCTTCCTTCCTTCCTTCCTTCCTTCCTTCCTTCCTTCCTTCCTTCCTTCCTTCCTTCCTTCCTTCCTCCCTCCCTCCCTCCCTCCCTCTCTCCTCTGGTCTTCTGAAAAGTATGTATCTCACACATATATGAAGAGAGCTGTGTTGGCCTGTTGCAACCAAAAATAACATGGAGTCTGGTAGTACGTTTTTAGTTTAAACATTTTGTGTTGATGTTCCCAGACTCCTAACCTCTGATTACCTCACTCAGAAAAGCGTGAGATGTTCCTCAAGACGGGGCCAAAGTTTCTCTCTCACCAGCCTGGAAAGGGTTACAGGGAAGGAGTCGGTGACGTCTCAGCTCCCTTTCTCCAATCAGGATATAATCAACAGCCACGGTTCAAGAAGCAGAAGGAAGCAAGGAAGGGCTTCTTCAGCGGTCCTGCCACTCTTCTTGCTCGCGGTCACTTCAGGCGCTTTCTCCCCTCCCTCCCCTTTCTCCCTTCACTCCCCACCTCTGGGGTATTCATTTCTCTTGGCTTTTGCCCCCCTGGAAACTGCCATCCTGAAGTTTCTGGTGGTGCTACTGGCCGCAGGGATGCTCGCTTTCCTTGGTGCAATCATTTGCATCATCGCGAGCGTCTACCCTGCGGCCAGCCATGCCGGAGCCCTCCAAGGTGCTGATAATGGCTCCAATGCCGCGGCCTCTGCTCTGCTGCCCGCCTCCGGTTCCGACAAGACGCTGGGAGCCCTCCACGGGACGGGCGAAAGCAGCTACGGAGGCTTCTCGACAGGCTCCCAGGACTCTGTGCTAGACCTCCTGGCTAGCGCCCGGCCGCAGCAGCATCAGCAACTCTTCAGCCGCTTCCTATGCACCCCGCTGACGGTCGAGTGCCCCGCGGAAGGAAGCCCGCAAGGGGACAGTCCCGCGGCGGCGGCGGCGAGCGAAGAGCTGTTCTTTCTCCAGAGCACAGCCGAGCAGCTAAGGCAGACGGCGCAGCAGCAGAAGGAGCAGATCCGCACCGATCAGGAGACTATCCGGGAGCTGACCACCAAGCTGAGCCAGTGTGAGAATGGGCTGGAGCTCAGTTTCCAGGATAGTCCCTCTGTCTGGGGGATCCCCAGGCAAGACGCCATGCCCATGGACGACCTGTCGTGGGATTCGCCTGTTATGATCCAGGAACTGGAGGAAGCAGTTAGGTCTCTGAAAGACAGGATTGACAAGATCGAGGTAAAATAATAAAAATAATCTTGCTGCTTTTCTCACTCCAATTTCCCCACCTTATCCATTTTCTTTTTTTCTATTTTTTTTTTTGCAAGGGTACCGCAAAAACTTCTCTTTGCTTCTCTTGCTTGCTTCTCTTTTTTTCTGTCCATCGGTTTTTCAAATTGCAGTTTAGACATTCGATAGTATGTAATTGAATTAAAGCTATCTTCTTCTAGCCTTAACTGAGCAAGATGTCAAGTGTCAAGGGCCATGTTGTGGAAATGAAGAATAGTTGTGCACATATGGAGAGAGGAGGTCCAATGGGTTGGTATACGGGACACTTCATGTTCATATTATATTAGGCACCTTCTATCAACACTACCCTTAGCGACTTCAAAATAAATATAAATATTCTTGGAAGTTAAGTACTTACTTCTCAAGATGTTATCAGATTGTAGACTTATTCATTGCAAGGCCTAATGCCAACAGAACAATAGAAAGAAGTTTCATACAGCAAGAGATAATTTCACATCTATTCATGAAATTGATCTAAAGCTATTTTACTCTTTCTTTGACAATATTTTTGGAATTCTTCTCCAAATCTCTTCTTTATATTTTATTAAAATGAATAAGGGCAGACCTCACTTAAGGCAACTATGAGTGATATTCCTTTTGAAATTTATTTTTGTGTGTGAGAGAGAAAGAGGGGAGAGGAGGAAAGTAGTTTTCATTTTCCTTGTCAGTGATTTTTAGAAGATGGGAAATCTACTGAGATTGGAGTTTTAAGTATTGAGTACCATTTTCCATTTTACATAATACAGTTTGCAACCAAATGTGTATTTGAAAGGTTGCAGAAACCAATCCCACCTTTCCAGGTAGTGCACCCCACTATCAAACATATGTGTAAACATTTTTTTATTTGTGATCTCAGTGTATAGGTGCAGACATAAAATAACAACAGTCTATAGGCACTATTATAGTCCTTAAGTTCTAGTTTGATGTATGTCTGTTCACTGTCATCAAGGTTTCTTTTTTATCAGGAACTTGGTGCCAGTTTCAAGACAGATAATTGCTTGATATTTCTGCAGACATGGCACCCATAGCATAGTGATCATTTCAGAAACCATTTCAGAAGATTTATCACTGTGTGAACCATAGATTCCCACAATATATCATTACAACATGAATAAGTAATAAAAATGAAGTATAAATTCTTTTGAGGATTTGTGAAGTCTTGAACTAGTTATAATTATTCTGATGTAGTTATAATGATACTCCTTTTATATGCTCTTTGAAGTCTCCTGCTTTGGGAAGATGACCACTGAAAAATCTATTCAGACTTACCTGATGCAAACTTTGATTTCTTTCTAGAGTTAGATAAAGATTGTTGCATTTTCCCAAGATTTTAATTTAATTACTTATTTTTCCCCTTTTAATTATTGAAAAGTTGTTTTCTCCATTTTACATATTAATTTTAGCTTAATTTCTACAAACTAATCTGTTATTTTTATTTTCTATATTAATTTCACTTTAATTTCTATAAGCTTCCCTGTATTTTTCCCCCCATATGAAAAGGTATGGTATATAAATACATGAGATACATAAAAACATTTCTTTCTAGCTGTTTTAGGAGGATGTGGCTGAATCCAGACTTATAGAAACTCTGTTCCTTCCAGAAATGGAAACAGACTAGACAGTCTATAATAGCAAACATTAAACAGCACGGTTCTTTCTTAGATTTTGTCTAGCCAGATTGCAACTTGTGTTATTTGAATGGATTATTAAAAATTCAGTATACTGATATTGCTACAACTGTCAATTATTACTCATCATCCTGCCTATATTAGACATAAGCATAAACCTCTCTTATTAATTTTACAGCAGTGCTTTAAGAACTTCAAGATCAAAAAATAATTATTGGTTGAGCTGCACTGATTAGAAATACATGTTGCTAAAAGAAAGGACTGATAGTTCATCCTGTGCATGAAGTTCTGTCACATAAGCGTCTTCACAGAGGAAATAACTCTATTGCTCACTCTGTTAATCTCCATGGTATCTTGCGCATACATGTGTGCGCACACACACATTCTATAAAATATCTCTGACTAGCTTGAATAAGCAAGAAGCCTTTGATATGTTGCACCCATTCCCAGTGCTTGAGACACTAAGTAGGTGTACAGGTAATCCTTGACTTACAACAGTTCATTTAGTGACCATTCAAAGTTACAATGGCCCTGAAAAATGATCTATGAATATTTTCACATTTATGACAGTTGCGGCATCCCCATGGTCCCTTGATCAAAATTCAGACACTTGGCAACTGATTCATATTTATGACAGTCACAGTGTCCCAGGGTCATGGGTTCAAATTTTGCCAACTTCTGATAAGCAAAATCAATGAGGAAGCCAGATTTACTTAACAACCAGGTTATTAACAACTGCAGTGATTTACTTAAGAACTGTGGGAAGAAAGGTCATAAAATGAGGCAAAACTCAACAAATGTCTCACTTATCAACAGAAATTTGGGGTTCAGTTGAGATTGTAAGTTGAGGACTACCTGTATTGTTCTATCTGTGGATAGGTAGGTATAATTTCTTGGCATCTTCCAGTTTTATATAGATTATTTTCTATACCCATTCTATAAAGTTTAAAACAGTGGTTCTCAACCTGTGGGTCGGGACCCCATTTGGGTCGAATGACTATTTCATGGGGGTCGCCAAACAAGGCTGTCCGCCATTTTTTCCCCTTTTCTTTGGCCACGCCCCTGGTACCCGGTGATGTATAAGTGGTTGGGGGTCACCACAACATGAGGAACTGTATTATGGGGTCGCGGCATTAGAAAGGTTGAGAACCACTCGTTTAAAAGAATGATTTTTAGTGTTGCAATCTGAATTTTCTTTCAGGGACTTTTCTACAAGGAGCTTTGAGTTCTGTATTAATCATAATGATCAAATTTAATATTAACACATTTCAATATTCTTTGAGTCAGGTTAGCCTTGTTGCTAAACTGAGATTTTATACAAGAAAACCATAGTATCAACATTTCAAATACACAGTAATTGTTTCAGATACCAAGGAATCTTTGAAGATAAAAATGGGATACATCTCATAAGTTCTAATGTAATTCATAATAAATCAAACTCTAATGTTGATTTAGACAGATGTCTTTATCATAGCCAGTAAACAGAAATTTGCTAAAATCCAAATGAATGTGAGGGGATTTCTTATGCCCTAGCTACTGAAGTTTTGTTTTGTTTTTTTGCTTATAGAAATATACATGAATATCTTACAATGGACTAAATTAATCAAAAATCCAAAAGTTGGGTCACGTATTGTAAAATGATGGAGTGTTTCTCCATCCAGTTTCCTCTCACTTTTTCAGATATTGACATCTTGAATGACTAATATTGTTTGGCATGCTACAAACTTTTGGAGGGCTCGGAAATCAAGAAGTACACTCTGCACTCCTCCCCACTTTTGCTTCAACAGATGGGAAGTTATGAGCTCATGCAACAGTTTTTAAATATGTATTCTGAATTTTTTTTCTTCCTTCCAAAAATTCTTTGATAAATACCACCCACTGCATCATGAGTTCAGGAAGTTAATTGGGTACAGGAGACAGAAAAGCTTCAGGTTATAAGTTCTGGAAAGTTTACAATTCTCTGGCAATTTACAGAGCCAACCTAGCCAAGAATGAAATGTTAGACATGCACATTCTTTGGCAAGATATGGTTTTGCCCAAATAATTCAGCAGCTAAGCACAATTCACTATTCCCTACACTATATTTCCAAAACAACTCAATTAGCTCCCATTTGTCCCAATATTATATATACCTGCCTACTGGAGATAACAACTTTTTTGTTACTTATAATGATCCCATGGGCTTCCCAATAGCTTTGTTAAAAGATGAAGCCAGGTTTTTTGTAGGAGAAAATTATATGATGTGTAACAATGTCTCTTGACTGATATTTCTCATTTTCGGCTAGATCTGTATGTTTTCCACATTCACTGTAGCTACTTGATAATGAAATAAGTGAAATAAGACCTCATCCCATTCATGAGAATGTTATTGAAATGCTCTTCTTTGAAATACATTTCAAAATAAATTTTTATTTCATTAAATGACAATGAATAATAAAATTACAAGATAATTTTTTTCTGCACAGCTTTCAGTTATATACCTGGAATCTTACTGTTTTGCTTTGGTTCAGCTAAAATATAAATATTGGTGCATTTCTTGTAAGTTTAAAACTCTGGGCCTTCGAGAGACAATATAACATGGGAAATAAGGGAAGCTTTTTGCTTGTGTTATTCCAGAAATAATGGGTATAACTTGTAGCTACCTAGATTTTATTTAGGGAAAATGATAATGGTTAAGATCTGCACAAAATAGTGAAAGTCTGCCTATGAAAATCTCTCTGGAGATTTTCAAGAAGAGACTGGGCTGTTACCTCTCAAAGATAATCTAATGCAGGCATGTCAAACTCACGATGTCATGTGACGTCGTGCAACATATTGGGTCGGTTTTGCCATTGCTGGTAATGCGGTGGGCGCGGCTTCCATGTGACGTGTCTGGCCCGTGGGCCAGCAGTTTGACACCCCTGATCTAATGGGTTTTCCTGCAGGAAGTTGGACTAGCTGGTCCTTGTAATCCCTTCCTATTCCACATTCTATGATTCTATATAATCAATTGGAATAAACAGGTGATTCCCAAACATGAACATATTGTAAGAAGAGGTAATAAACAAATCTGTGATTAGTAAAATTCATATTATCTAGATCAAAATGGTGCCTTAATAAGCATAATTAATTTCTTACTATCCATATTTTATGTATATTTTGGATGTCAACCATTCACCCCCACACTATTACCCCTCTAACCTTTCCTAGCATTCTTTTATTTTTTTATTAACTTCAGCAATGAAAGATTTTCAGGATTTTAGGTAATTAATTGATCAGTTCCAGGCTGAGTTTCTACTCTCTTTAATCTAAATAGAACTAGTGCAGTCAGATGCATTAGTT